AGTGAAAGTTTTGGTTGACCGGGATAATAAGTAGCATTTAAATACCCTGGAATTTGAATTTCATTAAAGATACATCGCTCCCAAAGAAGATTGGAAAAAGCGGCGAATGAAAGTTAAAAGGGAAAGTTTGTTTTTTCTCACTCTCCTTCCTTACGGTGACAGCTGTTGAATGAGAAATCGGAAAAACCCGCTTTGGCATCAGCAGGTAACTAAACTGGAAAAGCAAAGCCAAGGGGACAGTAAAGATTTCTGAACAAAAAAAAAACCTTTGTTATAAGTGGGAAGGCAGAGGAAAAGAATTAATATTAAGATTTTGCTGGAGGAGGCTGCTTGGAATTTATAAGACTAGAGCTAAATTGTAACAAGACTTCTAAAAGATACATTTTAAATTGGAACTTTGCAACTGAACTGTAACCCCAGGAAGAGAAAGTGTAAAAAGAAGAAAGTGCTAAATGAAACAGTCTGTGTGTATTTGGATTGCTTGGTGACTTTGGGACTTTTGGAAATTATTATTTGAAAGACTAAAAACATTTGGGTTGTTTAAAAAAAAAGTTTTTTCCACAATGGCATTACTTGTCGATGAACTGAAAATTGAATTCAATAAGTTAAAAGAAGAGGAACAAGAAGGGAAGGGCTCTTCTGGCTCTGTTTTTCATTTCTTAGAAATGGCGATTTCTACTTATCCGAAACTACCCGAAACTATCCGAAGATTGGGATGAAGAAGAAGCCATCTTTAACGAACAAGCAATTCTAGCTGGGGAAGAAAAGGGAAAGAGGGGAAAGAGAATGGAGAATTCAAGACCTAAAAAAACAACCAAAAAGGGAAAAACAAGGTGAAAAATCGATACAATGTTAGAAAGCAACAGAAAAGAGGAATACAGAAGAGGGTGGAGATCAAGAGGGTGGAGATCAAGAGACAAGGGGGTAAAAAGGCTAGATTGGAGAAGAAAGGAAGGAAATTATATTTTGTATGTAGCCTTTAAAAAGTGTGAAAAGGGAAAATTAAGACCAAGGTAGGAAAAATACACAAAGCGATGTCTTGAGAAATCTTTTATTTGTTCTCCTGTACATGACTAGTTATTCTCATTTACTATTCATTAAAATATTTACATTCATTGTTTTGAACCCTACATTTATCATGCTGCCCATGAATGCTGTGTTCTGTCTCCCCCCGCAATATCAATTATCAGATGATTCATCACTGGTTATATCTAATATTAGAATAACCAGGAAGCATCACTGGTTATATCTAATATGAGAATAACCAACCTTGAGCAGTGCAGGGGGAAAAAAATAAGGTTTTCCTGAGATCTTTGGAAGACTTGCTTGCACATCACTTCAGCATCACAGTCTCTATTTTTATAACAAACAAAATTGAAAATAGTTTTTTTAAAAAAACTCCAGGACTTTTTAATCTGAATGATCCCAGAGGATGGGACAACTCATAAGGTAGCTGAGTTATTAAAATCCCTCCAATTATTATGTTCTTTTTTGATTTAGTTCTGCTTTTATGGTTTTTAATGCTTTTAAAAATAATTACTTTATAATATTTTGGGTAATGATTGCTTTATATATTTACCATTTTATTGAATTGTTGTATGCCACCCAGAGTCACTTCCTGTGAGATGGGCAGCCACATATATTTGATAAACAAGCAAACAATAAATAAATAAACAATTGGGAAGAAGGAGTGAATGCAGAGAAAGACTATTATAGACATTTTTACATTTTATATAATTGCCAAGAAAAAATTGTCATGTTGCATTCCTTGGTTACTAGAACTCTGGAATTTTAGTCTACTTCTTGTGTTTTTGAAAATTTATCTGTTCTTTTTAATTTGTCATGATATTGGAATTGTGGATTCTTTCAACTCCAGCTTTGAGTTGCTGGAACCCTCTATTTTTGATTTTGTGAAATCTGGCATTGATCAGAGATTGTTATGAGTCTCCTTTTCCTCAAAATATGCAGTTTGACTTAGGATCAAGTAGTATATCTAGCACTAATAATCTATTCCAATTGATGAGATTTACTGACATAATTCACCTAAAACATATTCAAATAATTTATGTGTGAAATAGCAAAAATGGTACATTCTAATACTATTACCGTAGTTGAGGAAATAGCAATCAGATTCTGAAGTGAAAATATTTGTACAGAATAAAAATAAAATATATTTTAAGTTAAACTCCAAATAGATGTAAACAATATGAATCTCAAATACTGTAGTAAAGGGACCATCTAGGCTGGAGCTATTAGATTCAAATTCTCTGGCTTCAGGCTATATGAGGATTGTTAGAGAAGTTTAAATTTAGCAAATTGAGTTGCCTAAAATAGAGGTAGAAGGAAGAAAAAGATACCAGAAGGGATTTTTGGGAAAAGAGAGGCCTTGGGAGATTCAGAAGTTTTTCTGTATTTCGACCTGAAAGAAATAATCAAATAATCATTTTTTCTAAAAGATATAACAGATATAGAAGATATAACAGAAAGGCAGTAATGGAAATCATCATCACAATTATCTATGGCTCTGAGTCTTATTGTTGTTTATCAGGAAAGGGTTATATTCTTTGACCTGGTTTCATTTTAATAGTAAAAGAGCAAAAAAGAAATGCTGTCTCTTTCCCACACAAATCTTAGGAAGATCATTAGACCTGAAACCCTTGTCTATGTACTAGAGCATCTAGCACATCACTGCAGAGATATCTTACTGGGTCATTCTATACCACTAAAAGAATGTATTAGCATGAAGCTCCTAGACCTAGATTATTTCCCATCCCTTATTGATAGATGGCTGAGCTTAGAAGCATGTCTTTTATTGCAGTTCTGGATATTTGAACGATTCTACTTTTTATATTTTCATTACCTGCTTCTTATATGAAATATGCTAGTTTGCTATTTAAGTAAATAGGCAGGACATTTGGTTAGTAGGAAAAATAGGGATTCCTTCCTGAGACCATAGTACCTGGTCTCTTGGTGGCTATTGTTCCCTTGGCAATAACAGTTCTGTGTTTTCTCTAGACCAGAATATTGGCTTTCTTGTTTTTGAAAAAAAATACAAAAACTTAGGAGATACCGTGGTTAACTATACATTTTCTAGGTTGGCTGTTAGTAAGATAGTCAATAGTGGTGTCCCCCAAGGCAGTGTTCTAGGACCAACTCTCTTCATACTCTACATAAATGACCTCTGTGATCATATTAAGAGCAATTGCGTTCTCTTCGCTGATGATGTAAAGCTGTTCAATACCACAGACAATACTGCTACCCTACAAAAAGATCTTGACTATGTATCAGAATGGTCAAACAAATGGCAACTTCAAATCTCAACAAATAAATGCTCTGTCTTACATATTGGCAAAAAAAAAACAGAAAATAAAATACAAGCTGAATAGTCAAGATCTTGTTGATGACCCAAGCTCTGTAAAGGACCTTGGAATACTCACCTCTAATGATCTAAGTGCTAGAGCCCATTGCAACTACATAGCCAAAAAGGCATTAAGAGTTGTTAACCTAATTCTACATAGCTTTTTCTCTGGTAATATTACACTACTAACCAGAGCATACAAAACATTTGCTAGACCAATACTCGAATACAGTTCATCAGTCTGGAACCCACATTACGTATCTGATATTAGCACAATTGAGAAAGTCCAGAAATATTTCACAAGAAGAGTTCTCCACTCCTCTACTCGTTGTAGAATACCTTATGCCACCAGACTTGAAATTCTAGAACTAGAAAACCTTGAACTACGCCGTCTTCGGTCTGATTTAAGCATGGTATATAAAATCATACATTGCAGTGTCCTACCTGTCAATGAATACTTCAGCTTCAACCATAACAACACAAGAGCACACAATAGATACAAACTCAATGTTAACCGCACCAAACTTGATTGCAGGAAATATGACTTCAGCAATAGAGTGGTCAATGTCTGGAATACTCTACCCGACTCTGTAGTTTCTTCCCCAAACCCCAAAAACTTTAACCTTAGACTGTCTACTATTGACCTCACCCCTTTCCTAAGAGGTCTGTAGGGGGCGTGCATAAGCGCACCAACGTGCCTACCGTCCCTGTCCTATTATTTCTCTTATTCTTCTTTTATTTTTCTTATATGTACCCATTTCATGTATTCACAACTATGTATACACTTATACTTATCTTGTAAACAATTGGCAAATCAAATAAATAAATAAATAAATAAATAAATAAATAAATAAGAGGTTAGTCCAAACACAGAGGTCCAGGCAAAGGCAGTTAGAGTTCTGCTCTCCCACTCGTGGAATTCAATAGATGAATTACATTTGAGTGGCTTAATTAAATATTAAAGAATACTGCTCAAGAAGGAATGAGAGGGAGAAGTGGGAGAAGAAACCAAAAGAAAAATTATTAGCTGGAATGTAAGTGGCTCTTCATGATTAAGTTATTAACAATGGGTACTGGATTTATTAATGCTCAGTTAATGCTCATAACCAATTGATAATTGATTATCAATTAACCAGGTAACCAGATACCTTCCTTCAGGAAATGCTAACAGCTACTTATGTAATTTATCTAAACATGTAGATCAGGGGTGTCAAACTGGCAGCCCATGGGCTGGATGCATCATGCTTAGGCCACACCCATCCCAGCTCTGCGAAGGGAAAAAACATTGTGAAACATCATGTGACAGCAACACGATACCACAAGTTTGACACCCGTGATGTAGATTATTTAAGATTTTAACCATCCACTACCCAAGAAATAATTTAGCTTTTCTTTAATTACTGAATTTAATTTTGCTGGAACAGCCAGTGTATGAAAATATTTCATGGTTTCTTTGCCTCTTTCAATATCTAATTGATTGCAGAACCATTAAAAAGACAGCAATTAGAGGAAATTCTAAAATTATTGAAGCTTCCACAATGTACTTCCTTCCTATTTCCTGAGTAGAGTTAGGTATGCTAACAGTAATTTATGGTTTTCTTTGACCTTTTATTTTATTTAATGATTATATATAATCATTGGAATGGACTATTTTCAGGTAGTTGAAGAGTACCATTACACTCTGCTATCATCTTTCTGCAAAGTAAAAAAACACTTGGTTGTTCTAATTTCACTTCATGATTTCTAGTTCCTGATCATTCTAAATGATCGGGATTTCGGGACCCTTCTGTGAACCTGTTCCAATTTTTCTGAATGTTATCTTTAAAATGTAAAAATACATTCTATTTTACATCAATTCAACTTAAGTACCTCAACTATATCTTATATATTTTAACAAAATGAATTATGATTACAGTTTTAATGTTTATAATTCACATTTTACCACTTGATTACTGTTTTCAGGATGATGCATTAAAAAAAGATGATGGAGAATACATATACTGTCTTATAAGAAGTAGGGATGACCCCAAAGCAGCCTACAATCCATATGATCTTCAAGTGGTCTCTGCAAATATGGCTAGACGAAGTAAAGAATATTGGACTATTAGTGCCTCATATGTATCCAAGGTAACAGATCGCTTTTCACAGTCCAGAAATAGCAAATTACTGTTCACTGATTATTTCTTATATCTAGTTTTTTTTCCTATACAGAAACATAAAGTCCAGTGGTGGGATTCAATTTTTTTTTACTATCAGGGCGTGGCTTGGTGGGTGTGGCAGGGGAAGGATACTGTAAAATCTCCAGTCAGAAGTGGTATTTGCCAGTTCTCTGAACTACTCAAAATTTCTGCTACCGGTTCTCCAGAACTGGTCAGAACCTGCTGAATACCACCTCTGGTAAAGTCCTTGCGCAATAGTTGCATGCCTTAGAATTCAATTGAATTGAGGCATAAAATAAAATAAAATAATAAAATAAAATAAAAGTTTATTTGCATTTCCCTGAGGAAAGATATAACAAGACACAGACAAGCAGTTGAAATATATTAATTCACACTTGTACTCCATAGATGTTTTTTCAGAAGGACTGCTTGTGCAAGAACAGAATGGTAAGCACTGTCAGATTGGTTCTGACCTATTTCTGTGCTTCTGAACTATAGATCAAACAATGAAAAACTAATGTAAACTCTAAAAGAATAGAATAGAAGAATAGAATAGAAGAATAGAAGAAATATTCTGAAAATATCAGCTTTGCTCATTTTACTTTCCTCTCCCAACAAGAACAAGGAAGAGTGAATAAAATTTGGTAACTTTGTCGCTTGTATCCTTATGATCTATATTGACTGTTTCCTAGTATGATTGCTTATTGTACCCTATGACTATCATTAAGTGTTGTACCTTATGATTCTTGACTCTTGAAGAATGTATCTTTTCTTTTATGTATACTGATAGCATTTGCACCAAGACAAATTCCAATCACACTTGGCCAATAAAGAATTCTAATCTAATTTTAATCTAATTCTAATCTAATCTTTTGGGATACCATGTCCATTTGAATCCCTGTATTTTTTTTTCTCAAAGTTTTTTCCCAATAAAATGCCAAATGACTCCACCCTCCAACTGTCTCATAGATATTGTTAAAGATGGCTAGTCCCCATCAGATTGGGTATACTTAAGTATATTATTTAATGAAAAAAATGATAAAAATAAAAGGGTTTGAATAAAAAAATATGGCTGGGTTTGCAGGCCACAGTAGTTTGTGCACAGTATTCCCACCCCCTCACCCCGTTCTTAAAAAAACAACCACAAAGAATGATCGCTGCATCACTTTTTCTTCTTTTTCTAATTCAGCAGCACCATCTAAAGGTAAAAATGTAGAAACATTATAGTGCAATGGAGCAGAACAGATTTTTCAGTTGCAGGTTTCTATCACTACTGCCTATTTATTTATCTTTCATAAGTAGGTAATATTTGAGGAATTAGTGATCATTATCAATGTTTAGCTTCTGAAATTGGAAGATTGCAAGAGAAGTGGTGGCATTGAGTTGTTTATGATGTTTCTTGCATTGGGTAGGGGGTAATAATGAGAATGGAAGCAGTATGTTTCTTGTAGCTAAATGGTTTTCATCCTGAATAATCACTTTACAAAATTCAAAAATAATTGTTAATTTTGGGTGCTGAATTTTGGTAGCATAATTATGAAATAGGGTTTGCCCCCCTGCTTTTTGAGTGGGAATTTAAGAATGGGAATTCAAGTGGTTTGAATTGGAGCTATCATAGCTTCCAGGTTCCATTCTTAATTTTGAAAAGATAAAAAAAAGAAGCCATTTTCTCACCAAACTTTGATATAAATTTTAGACCACACGGTACTCATCCTTGCTTTATACAAATATTATTGTGGTTTCGTTTGGCAGGATTATTGAAGGAATGTGCTATAAAGATTTTCCTTCATTTGGACATAAAAATTATGATGATGGAATGTAAATTAATAAATACTGAAATATAGTTAAATATTCTAGTTAGCTTTTGCCTCATTTTCCAGTTCACTTCAGTGTGTGGAAAGCATGAAATGGAAATAACTCCAGTGATGGAATGGTTATATGAAAGGCAACTTTATAATGTGTTACATAACATGGATTTATATTTTAATTTCAGGTAAGAGATATTTATGGAACAAAGATATATGTGCAATTATTTACTCAATCTGTAGTAGGATATTTTGGATGTTGTGATTGGCTATGTGTGACAAAACAGTTCAGTGTGTAAACTGTAGCATTTTTCAGCTATAGAGATTTTCCATAGAAGTTCATTTTACCATATTCATTAATCCATAACTCCCTGTGTTATACATCAAAAGATGATTACCAACTCAAAGCCTTTCCACTTTTCTCTATGTCAGAGTGTTTAGAAATTTTTTAGAGTGATGATAAATAAATCTCATGACAGAAGATTCATAGTCAATTGTATTCAGGGAATTCATTAGGGGGGATTTTTTCCCAGAGGGGGAAAAAAACAAAAAACAAAAAATCACAATATACATTGGGGGTTACTAATTTATAGCACTTTTTATTTCAGCATTTGAGATAGGACAACATAGTCTTAATGTGCACAAATAGCAACATGGAAGGATTCCCCCAGAGATATTTCTTCTTGCACCTTAATATAAAGCTAGCTTCCTACTGTACTGAACATCTTCATTTCAAACCTGGCTATCAAAGCACATGGAATGAGATTTAAGACTACACTAGATGGTATATCATAGAATCATAGAGCTGGAAAAAAAATTGAAATCTCCCAGTACAACCCCTTTCCCAAGGAGGAAATATTACACCTGTGATGGCAAACCTATGGCACATGTGCCAGTAGTGGCACACAGAGTCCTCTCTATGGGCACACAAGCCATCACCCCAGTTCAGTTCTGCTGCACGTGTGCGTGCATGCCTCTTGCCAGCCAGCTGGTCTTCGGGTCTCTGCCATGCATGTGCAGGGGGCGAGGCACATGCCCGGGGATACCACACATGCAGGAGACACACATGCACATGTGGGGGCAGGGCACATGCACAGGTGCCATGCACGCATGTGAACGGCGCATGTGTGGGGTGGCAAGGTGCATGCGCAGAGGTGCACATGCATGGGGGACGTACATGCATTGCATTTTGGGGATGTGTGTGCCACGCGCACTTTGGGTACTCAGTGCTGAAAAGTTAGCCATCACATCACTGCATTATACTATTCAGGACAAGTGACTGTCCTATTGTTTTTTGAAAACCTCATGTGATTAACATTTGCTATTTTCTCTGCTGGTTTCCTCAGAAATTCAGTGGGGAAGCCATCAGGGAAGCCATATTCTGTTAAAATAATTGTTACATTTTACTCATATGAAATTATGTTAAATATGTAATATTTGTGGGTAATAGTTATACAAAATAAATTATATATCTTTGGCTCAATCCTTGATTATACAATCAAATCTGTTTCTCTCTTTCTCAGAAGATTTTTCTTTTCTTTTCAGAAAAAAGAAATATTTTATCCTCTGGAAAAATATTGTTAAGTATTCAAAAACAAAAAGAAACCAGTAAGTATATAAAGACCAGATATTTGTACTAAGTGAGTTGATTACCCTTTTTTCAGGTGGGAAACATCTTTTAAAAAATAACAAATGTAAAACAGTCTGAAGAGGAAAAATTCAATGCATAAACTACCACGTTGAGGATATGTGCATATTTTAAGGATAATGGTGTATGTGTTAAGGGTCTAAGATTGCATGGTCCCATTGATTATGGAATGTGATCTGGTAGAACCACAAAAAAGGACATTCTTGGTAGTGACTTCTTTATGGAACATCATTCCTCCTGTGGTACAATTGACCCCCACTTTACTGCTTTTCTGAAAGGCTGTAAAAACATGTTTTTTGTCAGTGGGTCTGGGGACTATAAAAGGAGATGGAGATGGTCAAGTGGCTGAATTGATTGTGTTGTTGTTACCGTGGGAGTTGAGCTGCTCCGTGAGAGATAGTAGTTCCATTGCACTCTGAACTGCTTAAACTACATTGGAATACCATGGTCAGCTCTGGATGGTACACTTTAAATATGGAAAATTAGAACAAGTTCAGAGAGAAACTAGAAGCATAAGAGATTTGGAAGAGATTAAGTCCTACGAGGAACACTTGAGGTTGCTGAGAATGTTTAGTATACAAAAGAAAAGATAAGGGATAGCAAACAACACCTATTTAAGGGCTGTCATAAGAGAGGTTACACCTGTTGCTGCCAGCTGCAATGTAAGTCTGATGCAATTGAAGATGAATCAACATTGGTATTGCCTTTTTAAGACGAAGAATGGGTTCTACATACAAGAATTGTTTCCAAGTAAAAACTAAGCGAAATAAAATATTTCCCAAATCAGAGCTGTCAATTTTGCCATCTCTGCCAACTCCATTAATTTCATCATCCATTTTTCCATTGAGGGTATATATGAGTTCTTCCATCTCTCTACATAGAGAAGCCTTGCAGATAATTGTAATATATAAGAAAAGCCTCTGGTTTCATTCAGTCTAAGAATTGTCGGAGTTAAAAATACTTGTCTGATTCCAGAAAGTCTTAGTTTTCTTACATGGCCACCAGAAATGATAAAAAGTGCTTTCAGATTGTATACATTTCCAACATGTATTTGACACACCCTTATACAAACCCTCTGATAATTGATTGGTGCTAAATGCCAATGATACATCATCTCTCTATTTCAAATTATTATTCAGTGTAAATTCCAGTCCCTTTTCCCACATATTCTCCCATTGATCAAGGATTATGTTATAACCAAAGTATCTTGCCCATTTGATTATACAATCTTTAACATTTCATCCTCCATATTAATTTTCAATAGTAATTTATGCATCTTAGCAATCACATGTTCATTATTTGTACATAAATCCAACTCGAAATCAATTTTCCCATTGGTAACAACAAATTCTTCCTTATCCAATTTAAATCTTTCAGTTAATTAAGCATAGGCAAACCATTGAGAAATATGGCCTTTCCTTTCCAAATCTTCTCTGGTTTTAGTTTAGGGTCTCCTTCAGAAAAAGTAAATAAATCCATATGTGAGATAATGACTTTCAAGATGAATTGCTGAATTCCAAGCACATGTCAACTTATATTTATTATAAACTGAAAACTTGTAGTAATTTAAAATATTCATATTATTCTGTTTGCAGAATGATATTGTATAAGCAACTATTTTTTGCTGATGAGATACTGCAAAGTTGCTTACTTCATCTCCAAACTTTGTGTATAGATGTGAGTAATTCAGAGAAGCCCAGATCATCTGAAAAAACAACTATAAATTTCATAAAGGTGAGAGTAAATATTTTAAATGTGTAAAAAAATGAAATAAGAGCCAGTTTGATGTAGTGGTTAAGGCATCAGGCTAGAAACTGGGAGAGTGAGTTCTATATTGTGCCCCTCTTAGGCAAAAAGCCAGCTGATCACTCTCTCAGCCCCAGGAAGAAGAAAACGGCAAACCAAAATCTTGCCAAAAAAGTTTCAGAATTCAACACTGATTTGAAGGCACAAATAATAAATATACAGGTAGTTCTCAACTTACAACCATTTATGAGTGACTGTTTTGAAGTTACAATGGCACTGAAAAAAATTCTCACACTTATAACTGTCACAGCATCTCCTGGGTCACATGTTCAAAATTTGGGTGCTTGGCAACCAGCATGTATTTAAAATGGTTACAACAACCTGGGCAGGGGTGGGATTCAAATTTCTCAACAACTGGTTCTATGGGCGTGGCCTAATTTGTGGGTGTGGCTTGGTGGTCATGTGATTGGCTGGACGTGACTTGCTGACTGGGTGTGGCTTGGGTGTGACTGGCTGGGCATGGCTTGTATGTAAATATTATAAATATTTATGTAAATATTGAGGGTTTTTTTAATAAAAAAAAGCAACTTTTACCAAAAATCAGGCAAAGCTGGCAGATTGAGTTGCTCACAGGATCACAGATTCACTCAGAGATCTACCAATCTGCTACCTGAGTCTGCACTGAAAAATTGAAGCTTCAGTACTAAGGAAGGTTCAGCTCTGCTTTTAGATTATCTAGAAAGCAAAAAATCCAACCATTTCCTGCTTTCTAGCTAATCTACATCTCCTGGGACAGCAGAACAGCTGATGGTTGGAAAAAGGAAAAAATAGCAACTTATCAAATGCAGGCAAGTTTGATGGCGCGCATGCCAGGTAAGGAGTGAGTGGGCAGGGAGGGGAGAAGCCAAACAGTGGCACTATTTGCCAGTTCTCCGAACTGGGCAGAATCATAACAACCGGTTCTATAGAACTGGACCGACCAGGTAGAATCCCACCCCTGATCCTGGGTCATGTAATCACCATTTGTGACCTTTCCAGCTGGTTTCTAACAAAGTCAATGGGGAAAGCCTGCTTTGCTTAACAATATGATTCACTTAACAGCTGCAGTGATTTGCTTAACAACTGTGGCAAAAAAGTTGTAACATTGGGCATGACTCACTTAACAACGGCCGTGCTTGGCATGAGAAATTCTGGTCCCAATTGTAACTTGAGGATTACCTGAATAGAAAAAATGTAACCACCAATATTATTCTGAACTGTTAGTGTGAGAGGATAGGTTTTGTTCTAAATTTTTGGTTTGATTCAGTTTCACGCTTTAATACGGTATGTTACATACAAGTTTATAGCTTGTATGAGAAATGGGAAAATGTTAAAAGAAAAACAAATTAAAAGTCATGTTTTTATGTTTTTACCTTCATGGTTATGTTCTACTATAGAAGTATTCATTGTAGCATTCCTGCTATTGTACATTCCTTATATATAATATATATAATATATAATATATAAATATAATGATATATACTCGATCAACTATTAATTATAATCTTTATACTAACATTAATAGTAGTTTGAAAGTGTGACAAAACCATTCAATTTCTTCCTTCCTCCCCTCTCTCTGCATATTCATACACACACATCTGGGCTGACCAGATATTTGGAGGCATCAAAATTTGTATTGATGAATTCTGCATGTGAGGGTCAGCAAGTGACATGGTCTAATGCTAAATAAATTCATTCAGATGGACATTTCAAATTGGGGATTTAGGGTCACATTTTCCTTCTATTGCTCCCTGATTTTAAAAATTTACAAAATTTTACATCTCAAGTTTTTTTTTTTAATAAAGTTTTATTTGGGTTTTCACATACACAAAATACAAGTAAAACATCTTTTTTGAAAATAGCATGGTCCCAGGTTGAACTTCTTTATACAGACACAAACTCAATTTCATGCTCCTTTTTGTGTATTCTACATTTTCTATATAGTTTTTCCCCTCTTTTAATTTTCTCAATTTTATTTTGATTATCTCATCTCAATTCAAATCATTATATTGATACTTTTGTCTGTTCTGTTTCAATTTCATGTTATCTTTTCTCATTAAATAAATTTTCTCCTGTAGTTACTAATTGGAGTATGACACCTTTATATCTTTTAATTATATCCATTCAACTCTTATTTAAACTTCAATACATACCTTAAGGTTATGACCTTCAATATAATACATAATACATAACTTCCAATCGAATTCTGCTTGGTACATTCTTATAATACACACTATATTCTTTAAAAAAAGGATTATAAATATATGTAATTATAAACCCTCATTCCATTCCAATTCAGTTCTATCATTAATAATCATTAAAGTCTTAATATCTTTAACATTTCTTTTCAATTAAATATCATACTTCCTTAAAGACATATATAATCTCCATAATTAATTTTTCCCTTATTTCTCTTCACATATGTTTTGTAAATCATTAAATATTCATTTTGTTACATTTATTTATTGACAAGCATTCCACTAAGTTACGATAACTATTTTAACAAACATTTTAATCATACATTGTTTCATATTTTCTGAAATTATTTCTATTTCTAATATAACAATACTATCTTATGTACCTTTGCAGAATCCCTTTTTCCATTAGATTTTTCACCCATTATCTCTAAATAGGCCTTGTTTCTTTATATTTTGTTTCTGTCCTTTATAACTTCTTTTCCTTTCTTTCTTCCCTCTCTTCTTCTCCCTCCCCTTTTTACCCCCTTGTCTCTCTAGTTCTAATTCTCTCTTCAGTATTTCCCTCTTCTGTTGCTTTCTGATTTTATACTTATTTTTCACTCTATTTTTTTTTTTGGGGGGGGGAGTTGTTTTTCCCAATCTTAAACTTTCCATTCTCTTTCCCCCCTTTCCTTTCCCCCCCCACCTAAGATTACTTGTTCATTAAAGATGGCTTCTTCTTTGTCCCAATCTTCTTGTTCTGCAGGCATTTCTTGTTTCTCATAGTTCCAAATCTCCATTTCTAAGAACTGAAATATGAAGCCAAAAGAACCTCTCTCTTCTTGTGCATCTTCTTTGTACTTTTTAAGTTTCATTTTCAGTTCTTCTAAAAGTGGAGCCATTTTAAACAGTTTTAAACAACCACCTGATTGATTTTAGTCATTCAGATGCAATAACGAAGAATCCAAAGATCACCAAGTAATCCAAATAGTCCCAAGATGTTTCTTCTTATTTCTTTTTTCACTTTCTTTTCCTGGGGTTTTACTATTTTGTTGCGATGTTTCAGTTAAGATGTATCTTTTGGAAGTCTTGTTAATATTTTTCTGTAAGTTCTTTTTAATTCCAGGCAGTCTCCTCCCTTCCAGATCCTGCCCGTTTATTCTTTTTCTCTCCTTTCCTGTTTTCAAAAGCTTTTAATTATCCAGAAATTTTTATTATCCCTTTGACTTTTTATTTTCAGCATTAAATGCCTATTAATGTCAAAGTGGATTTTTTTCTAATTTCTTGCTTAAGTCTCTTAGCTGTCAGTATAGGAAGAGGAGAAAAAAAAACTAAATCCTTTCCCTTTTCTCTCTCCTTCGCAGCTTAGAAATCTTCTTAGGGAACAATGTTATTGGTATTTTTTTAATAGTTTCAATTCCAGGGTACTTATTTGTTGCTTTTGCTGTTTGACCCAGTCAACCAAAACTTTCTCTTCTTATCTTCCTCCTGCACATTCTTTTCCAGTCGAGTTCTTCTTTGTGGTGGCCATTTCTGACCACCGCTACAACCGCCTTCGGGAAAGGGAGTAATGGCCAGCTGGGGAGGAGAGATGCAGCTCTCCTCAACCCTGCAGGCAGTCTCCCCCTTCTTCACCACCTCTACGGGGTGGCTTAGCCCTGAAACCAGCCGGCTCGGGGCGCTCCAGCGGCGAGCACAGATCGAAACCGCGCAGAGACGCGGTTTCGGTCTGTCGCCAAAGAAGCTCAAACTGGAAGTCCGAAATTTTGCATCTCAAGTTTTGATTGCCCATTAATGCAGCTTAGGAAAATCTATTAGCAGCTATATCAATCGTGATATGTTAATATCACAGTATATTTGTATGTGTGTGAACTGTTCACTTTTTATATGTTATTGTTGATGTGCCAATATTTATTCTTATGCAGATGAATGAGAAAAATACATAAAAATTTGTATCCATTTCAGGGAAATTGTATTTATTTATAATATTTTTCTTTTGTTCTTAGATAAATACGGCTTATACCTACACATTGGATGAATTTTGTGAGGAACAATATCAACAGAGTCAACATGCTTTATCTCAACTCCAAAGTTTTAAAGATAAAGTAATCAAAGTAATTCAGGCCTGCTTTTTAAAAGTAATTAATGCATTTTATATATATTTTGCATTTTTATCTTATGTTCATTATTGAATATATTTCCAATATACTTTAATATTTTTCTTATGTTATATTGTTAAGACTTAACTGTCAGTAAGTATAATAATATTTTTCTGATCTGATGGAGAAAGTAATGATGAATAAGATGTTTTACTATTTAATCACAATAATCTTACCCTCCTTTTAACATTCTTAGCAGATTAATGCATGATTTTGGAGTTAGATGCTTACACATACTATTTTCTCTCTGTGAGGATATGAGATATTTCTGTTGGATTAATTCAAATTTTGCTTCAGAACTAACTAAAAACCATATTTTCTGGAGGTAAAAGGCCACAGAAATCTCTGCATGTTTTTCTGAACAAGTCATCAAAGAAGGGGTTTTAATAAAATTGTAGAAGAAAATTATTGGAAAGGACCAGAAACATCATCTTGTTCAATTATTTTCTGTTAGAATTTATTGCAGAAATCAAATTCAGAAAGCACACACAAGATGACTGATTCAGCAGGATTCATTAACTTCTTTATATACATGATAATATATGAGTAAAATGTACAATATCAATAATAGATTCTTCCAACATGTTTGTAGTTACAAGTAAAACACAAACAGCAGCTTCAGAGGTCAGAGCAGATTAGTTTCATTTCTCAGCACAGCACTCAAAGCTGCAGGGCCATGCCCAGGATCCTTCAGTTTCAGTTTCTAATTTAGCTCTCTCATTGGCTGACCTGTTGCCATGCTATTCATTGGCTGACCTTGTTACCATGTCTCTGCCAGTTCATGAATATTCTGATATTTTCTTGGTGCACTGAATGGTGCAGTAATCTAACACTTCATCATCAATGACCAATGCATCTCTCTATAGCTCTCATTGACAAAATTAAAAGCAGGCATACAGCATACATATACAAAAATATGTGAAAGCATAACTGAATAACAGAGTTGGAAGGGGCCTTGGAAGTCTTCTAGTCCAACCACCTGCTCAAACAGAAAAACCTTTAACATTTTAGAGAAATGGTGGTCCAATCTCTTCTTAAAAATCTCCAGTGTTGGAACACTTACAACTTCTAGAGGCAAGTCATTCCACTGATTAATTGTTCTAACTGTTTACATATAACTGTAACTAACTACATATACAAAAGTATATAAAATGAATTTAAAATACAAAATGATAACAAGGACTTGATGGTGATAGATGTTACTAGTACTTAGCACACCAGTGTAGATGTTCTTTAAAACCATTAATTTCTGAAAAAATATAACCCTTTAGTCATGCTGGAAAAAAATCAGGTTTTCCATAACGTGACACACCTATGGCTGATTCTATTATATTAGAGGAATTGTCATCTCTCAGTATTGGATCCCTGCTTCCTTTACATAGTCTTCAACAATAAGATCAGGATCATCTAACAAGATGTTCCAAACTATGATCATTCTGATTATGACTTAATGAGTTTTCACCATTTCCAGATTGCCTGCATATATGATGTCTATTTCACAGACATTGCCTTCCATCAGAATATGATATGAGCATGGTTGCTCATATTTTTGAAGTAACTGCAGTTGGCTCACCTTTCCTCGGGATACATTCACACATTTCCCTATTGATCAATGGCTCAAGAATCCGGGCTGTATAATCATACATTTTTCATATACACTGGAACTTTTTATCCTTTTTGACACTTCTGTTAATTTGAATAACTCATGTCCTATGATTAACATATTCTAAAATGTGCATACTATTTGCATGATCAGTGAGGCTGCTGTAGTATTTCTTTCCCATTCCAGTACCAATATCTATTCCATGGAGCAGCAACAGCAAAACCTACTAGCTCTTCGAGTAAGAAAACATTGCAACACAAAAAGGCCTTCCATTTCAAAAAGTTGTGTTTCTTTATTTGTTAAAATGTAGCACAGATCTAAAAAGTTTATTTTCACATCCCATTTCATCCCTCTCATTGTTGATTTATAGGATTTCTGGAAATTTGACATGAATTCTCAATCTTATCATTAATCTCTTTCTTTTTAAAAATCCTGGGTATTTCATCTTCAATTGATATGAATGCCCCAATATTTTGATCTCTTTACTGTAATTACATGAGTTTTGAAATGTGACAGAGCTTTGGCTCTTGAACTTGTTAATTTCATGCACAAGCAATGACAATGCTGTCAATTTTCTATGTCAATGGATTGTGGAGTATGATTTCTACCATAATATTTTTAATTTGGCTATCTTCATATGTTAGAAGTTTCTGATTCTTAGAGGTTCTGGATTCTTTTCAAAGTAAGGTTACTTTTCAGTCCAGCTTTCCCATTTGTCTTCCATAAGAGTTTCTTGTACTGTGGTCAAACATAGTCAATTTTCAATCATCAAGGCTATGGTTGCAGTTGTTATTTACTACCACCACTACCGCCCTTCTTGTTATATGGCAATTCTGATAAGAAATATTTATGGATGAAACATCTTCAAACTTTGTTTTCCTTATTGAAAAAGGATGATGAAGAAAAGTAAATAATACAAAATGTCTACATGATGAAAATACTGTATATATTTATTACTTTTTCAAATTTATTATTTCATAATGCTGTAGGTAGCAAAAATGAAAGGAGCAGAAACACTTTTTCAGCCTTCACTGTATGATTTAAAAGAGAAACCAAAATACTTTGAGATAGCTGAATGGCGGCACATTATGGAACGCTTTTCTAAGTTTCTTAAGCTTGTAGATAGAATCTTTCAAGAATTTCTTCGCAGATTGGTAAACAATGCCATAAATACTCTTTTGGAGATATTTAAAGGTTCCAGTAATATGACCATTTCAAAAAAGAAGACAAATGAAAGCCTTATGAGGTTAGTTTCATGCATCTATTTCATGATTAAAACACTAGCTCTTATTTAATAATATTGTTTATAAAATTATCTTAGATTAATTATTATTTAGTATTATTGTTACAGTTATATTTCCTTTATTTTTAAGTTCAGGTTACATTATAAAAATTATAAAATAATTCTTGGAGTAAAGGCTTCTTATGGAGCATAAGTGACAGGCCAAATATTTATATTTTAAATAAAAATTGATATAGTGTATAATTAAGTAAATTAATAATAATTTATTGCTCCTTTTTGTCTTTGAGTTACATGTGTTAGCTTTATTCTTGTAAAAAGGAAATATCTATTAACTAAGCTATAATATTGTCTCTCACATGTATGCATCGTTCAAGATGGTCACCTCCTCTGCCTTCACTATTTGTAAGCCCCATCTGACTGGAGAATTCTGGGAGTTGTCTTAAATATCTATTCTGTCTTCCAGTATGGCCACATCCCTACTATCTCCTAGTAACCTTAAATAATCTTGAGGTATTGTCAATTATTAAAATGAATTATGCTATTTAAAATATCAATTAGGATTTTTCCTATTTTTTCACATATACAGAACATATAAAAATTCAATTGAGAAAGCACTTTTCTTATTGACTGAAAACAGATGCCTGTGGGTATATGAAAATGAGCATTTTGAAGGCACTCAGAAATTATTGCACCGTTCAAAGGAAACAGAAGCACAACATGAAATTGTTACTGTCAGTGATATAGACAAGGTGAATTGATTTCTAAATGAAGATAATTTACAACACAGATTATCCAATAATTCATATTTATCTTATTAATACATATAATAATGATTAAATTTAATGGTTTAAATTTAAGCTTAAATACATGCTGAAAGCTATTCATTGTTATACCTTTAAAGACAAAATCTTGCCTTCAAATACAAAATAATTTCATGGTTCCTTATGAAAAAAAACTTATGAAGATTAAATACATTTTCCATCTTTCTCAAAAATCTCTTCATGCTTTACAACAGATTCAAAAGCATATTATCACAATGTAATCTTCTCTATTGATTAGTATCAAGTCAAAAATAATGGATTTTTCTTCCTTGTTTTAGATTGAAAATCTTTTGTTTTCAATGCTCTCTAGTTCCATTTGCATGATGTTTTAAAAAATAATATTCTAATTTTGTTATATTTTATATGACTTTAGGTCCTAGAAGAAGTGAAAAGGCAACTAAAAGGAGAAGAGGAATATTTCCCAATATTTAAAATAAATATTTGTCTGAGAATTCCCTATGAAAAGGAGCATCGTAGAAAATATTACCAAAATGATGATGATTATATTTCAGAATCTTCAGCAGAATCTTTGAAAGAAATATTAGACTTTGATGAAGTTTTGAGCAGCTCATCTGAAGATGATAGCAAACATGAAGAAAGATCAGAAAGCACTACAGAAGATTTGGGTACCTTCAGGAATGAAGAAAAACTAAGGCCATTGAGTAAGATTAATAAGGTTCTTTGAAAATAAGGCTGCATTTTACACTACAAAAGCACAGAGCCATAGCTCTGCTAATAGATTAATTATATGCACTATTATTCTATCAGTTCTTTTGGTAGTATTATGATATGTGCTTTTTGGTCCTGTGTCAGCTAGATTTCTTGCCACGTTATTTATTTTTCCTATAATTTCTTTTTCTATTCTATTATCATTCTAAAGAATGAATACTGGTCAGAAGATTGAATTTGTATCCAGTATGATGTTTCAGAAATGTAGATAATTTAACCTGGATTGAATCAGGAGTCTGACCTGAAACCAAGACAAGATTGATGTTTCAAATTGACTAGAAAGGGACAAACACATATAACTCTAATTATTTTTGTTCAACAGAATATTTAGGAAATGTATGCAACTTTCCTAATTTTGTTTTGAATTCAATAGCAACTGTAACTGCAGTTGTTTCTCCTGTAGGTATCAAGCTACCCAAATTCAAACAGATGAACAAAATTAGTGCAACAGGAACATTTATAGATTTAGAGAAATACATAATTTTTCATATTTTAGGAAGCACTGTTTACAAAAATAGTAGACATTTTACAGATGCTATTTGGAGAAATCTCTAAAACTTACTATTTTAAATTTAAATTTTGTTTTTTGAATTAAATGTATTATACCTAAGAAATGAATTTATAAAATAATATAGCACTGATTTCAAAAATAATTCAACTGATTAAATACAACAAGAAAAGATTATTATTTTACATTTAAAAATTTATAGAGTTGAAACAGGTGAATTTCATGGGGTAAAGAATGGCATACTATAGAAACAGGCACTAAAGAAAAAAGGCATTTTCTAGGTTTCTCAGTTTTAAATTCCTGCATACATAGAACAAATCTTTAGGGATAATTTATCCTAACGTAAGCCATAGAATTAAGGGATTCAGAATATTAGTGATAAAGAAACATGGCACTGTTGTCCTCTGCAATACTGTTTCAAAAAACTACAACTCTCTTATTCTTATCGTCAACAGGTATACTTTTATTTTATTTCTGCATGCTATCATTCCTTTTTTTTTTTCTATGAACCTGTAATTCCTTAATACGGGGTAGAGTATTCAGGGCAACTGAATGAGCTGAGCGTTTACTGGTTGGATACCCTTCCTTATGCCTATGTGTGTTGTAATGACGAGGCAGTTGAGGTGTTTGATCACATGAATCATGATGAACTTTATTGAAGTCTAGTCTTGTATTTATACACATTTTTAGTAATCCTCTAACATTGGTTAACTTTGGTTATTGCTTAACTTTCGTTACTGTTTAGCATAGTACTTAACACAATTAATTATCTCTAGTTAAAGTCTAACATATGTTTACTTCCTCTCTCTAATCCTTCTTTACATTAGTGATTTTGTTTGCCTGAGTTGTAATTACTTGTAAACATTCTTAATCTGAGGTTTGCCATCCAAGATAAGAGCGTTCCTGCAATTACAACTCTACATATGTGGAGTTCACCGCAGTTATTTTCTGTTTGTATCCTGAGAGAGAAATCTCTACTGCTACCTAGAATTGAATTCTCAACCTTCCAAGTGGGAGGTGAGCATCTTCACCTCTAGGTCATCTTGCTGTTCACTAGCATTCCTTACATATTTATCATTAATATATTAAACTACAAAAGGGGCAGCACACATCTTCATCTTACTTTCTGCTCAGTGTTGTATCATTTAGTAATAATTCCATTCTCACATGTGCTTTACTTTCTGCATTCAGCAACCAACCTTCAACTCCTTATCAGTGCAAAACATATCATAATTCAAGTTCATTTATTTTTTCTAAATCACAAACATGCAATAATGTACATTTGTACATTTTTGATGCTTTGTTGAAAAGTAGAAATTTGGTCTGCAACCCCATGTCCTACATAAAACTGCAGTGTAGTCCCAAATTATTATGTGTGTTTGTATGTATGTGTGAGTGTGTTTGTGTGAGGAGACATATACTTAAACTATATGTTCAAAATGAATAGTCCCTTTTTAAGCAGATACTCACCAATCTTTTTTATTTATTCTTCGGTCTCCAAATGGTCCTATTATTTTTTCCGCACACTTGTTTGTTTGTTTTTAATAATACTTTATTGGTTTTTTTCTTTTTTACATATCTCCATTACTTAATAAACAGTGCTGTGACATTTTGTGTATATTCACATATTTTATCTGATACAATCTGTACATACCAGTTCTATACCTTCTATATCTATTATATACATTTTCTTTTCTTGTTTCTATTGTCAATCCAGTGATACCAATTTTCCCATATTGCATAGTATTCCATATCTACTTTCCCTTTTAGTTCCATGGTTAATTTATCCATTTCCACGCATTCAAAATCTTTTTAATTATTAAACCTTCAGGTGGTGTAGTATCTTTCTTCCAATACTGCACATAGGAGATTCTTGCTGCTGTTAATACGTGTAACACCAGATACTTTATCTTTCTACTTTAATTTCTTTTTATTATTCCTAAAAGAAATAATTCTGGGACAAAATCAATTTTGCTTCCGACTAACTCCTGTAACCACATTTGTATCATTTCCCAATATTTTTTCACTTCGGGACATAACCACCATGAATGAAAGAAGGTACCTTGTTTCTGTCCACATTTCCAGCAAATTGGTTTTAAATTTGGATAGATCTTAGCCAATCTTGTAGGTGCTAAATGCCAACGGTGAAACATTTTGTGTTGATTTTCCTTATAGGCCGCCAATTTTGTTATTTTGTAATTTCTATTCCAAATTTTTTCCCATTCTTCTAAATCAATACTATGTCTGACATTTTTGTTCCACGCAATCATTGATCCTTTCACAATCTCTTCTACTCTATCAAATTCTAATAGGTATTTATATATCTTTGATAATAGTTTCTCATCTGGCCCAATCAAAAGTCTGTCTAATTTTTGTGGTTCAATGTCTATTCCAAATTCCTCACTGTCTTTTTTATATCTTGTTTGTATTTCTAGGTAAGGCCACCAATCTATTTTTATTCCCTGCCCTTCCAATTCCTGTCTACTCTTTAATTTTCCTTGATTATCTAAAATTTCCCTACACCTGGCCATTTTATTCACATCCATTGTATTGAGGTGGATCAATGCTTCCATGGGGGATATCCAGCTTGGGATTTTCGAATAATGTTTTTTCTTTATTTGTCTCCAAGTTTGTATCAGTGCATCCCTTATTTTATGTCTATAAAAATATAGATACGGTTTATTTCCTTTATCCCACAGGAAAGCATGCCACCCTCTTTGTAGGTCGTGTCCTTCTAAAGTTAATATTCTTTTGTTTCTTAAATTAATCCAATCTTGTATCCATACTAGTATTGCGGCCTTGTGATAGAGTTCCCAATCTGGGAGTCCAAGGCCATCTCTGCTCTTGCTATCCTGTAAATCTCTTAATTTTATCCGTGCTTTCTTACCTGCCCAGATAAATTTTATGGTTATTCTATTTAAACATTTCTTGTTTAATTTTATAGGGGTTGTTTGGAATAGGTATAGTAATTTAGGTAAGATATTCATTTTGATAGTTGCTATTCGTCCTAATAGAGATAATTGTAAAGTTTCCCCATTTTTCCAAGTCTTTTTTAATTTGATTAAATAATTTCATATAATTGTCTTCTTTTATTGAGGAACATTTTGCTGTTAACCAAATTCCTAAATACTTAATTTTTTGTGATTTGTAATCTCATTATAGTTTCTAATTCTTTTTTATTTTTTGATGATATATTTTTCACTAACATTTTGGTTTTAACTCTATTAATTTTGAACCCTGAAACTTCTCCATATTTCTCTAATTCATATATCAGAATTGGCCCTGACACTAATGGCTCCTCAATAAAAAAACCAAATCGTCTGCAAATGTTTGTAATTTGTACTGTTCTTTTTTTGATTCTAGTTCCTTTTATTTCTAAATTTGTTCCAATTTTTATTAATAATGTCTCTAATGTCAAAATAAAGAGCAGAGGTGACAATGGACATCCCTGGCAAATTCCTTTTGTTATTCTAAATACTGTTGTTATGTCTCCATTTATTATTACATTGTTATGTCTCCATTTATTATTACATTGGTCTTTTGGGAGGAATTTCATTTCCTTAACCTATCGAATCATGAATTGCCAATTTAAGTTATTGAATGCTTTTTGAGCATCCAGAAAAACAACAGCCACTTGTTTCCCTGGATGCATTTTGTAATATTCTAGTATGTTCATTATTGTTCTAATGTTATCCCTTATTTGCCTTAATGGCAAAAATCCATTTTGGTCACTATGTATAATCTCATTTAGAATTTTCTTTGTCCTTCCTGCCATAATATTCATAAAAAATTTGTAGTCAGCCTTCAAAAGCGAAATTGGGCTATAATTTTGAATTTGGTTAACATCGGTAACTTCTTTTGGGATCAAGGTGATATACTGTATGTTTCCCTCCACGATTCAGGAATTAGCAGAGACCCCTCTTTTTTTCCTCCACCAGTGCTGTATAGACTTTCCCCAATTTGTTGAATTCTAAGTATTTTTTATCTTGTCTTTTAATATGTACCTCCTGGAGGCACACAATATCTATGTTTTGCTTTACCAGTTTTGAAAGTGTTTGTTTTCTCTTTACTATAGCATTTAACCCATTTACATTTATTGACAATAATTTCAGTTTTTTCTCCATTCTCTTGTTGGTCTATCGGTTTCTAATTTCTATTGGTTTTCTTGTTTCTTTGTGTTCTTGTTCTGATGCCTTCCTCTTTCTGGGGTTCTTGTGTCACTTTAACTTTATCTTCCTGATCTTCTATTTCGGATTCCAGCTGATGTTCTTATTGACTCCCCTCTTCCAACTTTTTTCTGATGCTATCGTTCTCCTCCGTTCCTGTCAACTGATCATATAATTCTTGGGCTTTATCTAGATTGTCTATTTTTATCTTTTTGCCTTGCCAGGATACTAGCATGCCTTCTGGGATGATCCACTGAAATAGTATATTCCGTTTGCTTAGTTGGGATGCCAGGAAACGGTAATCTTTGCATTGTTCTCGAATTCATCTGGGTATCTGTTTCAGGGTAATAACTTCCTTCTCCTTATACACTATGGGCTCCTCCCTTGTTATTTTATAAATAATATCCCTGACGTTCTTTCAGACTAATCTGACATGTACTTCTCTGGGTAATCATTTTGCATAATTTATTTGGACTCTGTAAACTTCATCCAACTCATTTATAATTACTTGTGTATCCCTTTGCAGGGTTTCTGCTATCAGTTCCGCAATCAGTCACATGTTTTGATCATCATCTGTAGATAATCACCTTAAATGCACATGGCTTTGCTGAATCAGCACATTTCCTCACAAGCAATTATATGAAGTTTAAAATAAAGATTTTGATATCGCTTTCTGTAATATCAATATTATTTTTTTGTTCTATTTTTAAAGAGGTACTTTTAAAACAGGCAAGTTCTGAAATAGAAAGAATAGAATAGAATTCTTTATTGGCCAAGTGTGGTTGGACACACAAGGAATTTGTCTTGGTGCAAATACTCTCAGTATACATAAAAGAAAAGATACATTCATCAAGAATCATAAGGCACAACACTTAATGATAGTCATAGGGTACAATAAACAATCAAATCATACTAGGAAACAGTCAATATAAATCGTAAGGATACAAGCAACAAAGTTACAGTCATACAGTCACAAGTGGGAGGGAATGGGTGATAAGGAGTGATGAGAAGATTAACAGTAATAGTAGTGCAGACTTTGTAATAGTTGAACAGTATTGAGGGAATTATTTGTTTATCAGAGTGATTGCTTTTGAAGAAAAACTGTTCTTGTGTCTAGTTGTTCTGGTGTGCAGTGCTCTATAGCGTCGTTTTGAGGGAAGGAGTTGAAACAGTTTATGTCCGGGCTGTGAGGAGTCTGTAAATATTTTCACAGCCCTGTTTTTGACTCGTGCAGTATACAGGTCCTCGATTGAAGGCAGGTTGGTAGTAATTATCCTCTGAAGTCTGTGTCTGTTCTGTTGCAGAACCAAACCAGACAGTTATAGAGACAGTTATAGAGGTGCAGATAATAATAATTCCTCTATAGAACTATATCAGCAGCTCCTTGGGCAGTTTGAGCTTTCTGAGTTGGTGCAGAAAGAACATTCTTTGTTGTGCTTTTTTGATGACGTTTTAGGTCATGTGATATAGTAGAACCTAGAAATTTGAAGGTCTCTACTGTTGATACTGTGTTGTCTGGTATTGTAAGAGGTGGTAGTATGAGAGGCTTTCTTCTAAAGTCTACCACCATTTCTACGGTTTTAAGTGTGTTCAGTTCCAGATTGTTCCAGTTACACCACGAGGCAAGTTGTATAACCTCCCATCTGTATGCGGATTCATTGTGGTCTTGAATGAGACCAATCACTGTTGCGTCATCAGCAAACTTCAGTATTTTAACAGATGGATCGTTTGAGATGCAGTCATTTCTATATAGGGAGAAGAGAAGTGGAGGAAAGCACACAGCCTTGGAGGGGCTCTGTGCTAATTGTACAAATCTTTGGCTTTGCCAAGAGCAGCAGCTTATTAGACGACTTCTCTTTTGTTTCTGTTGCCACAGGCAAACAGAATCCTTTTCCGTGACAGCTGCTTGGCAATGTTCTTTTTTTCTTTCCTGCAGAACTGTCCAAAGAAGATGCTGCATCTCAATATTACTGAGGTGGAACTGCTAACATTTTAAAAACAAAAAAGCTGCTATAGTGCTATTCCCAGTTTTTGGAAATGTAAGGGGAATTGCAAATTTGACTCCAAGAGAAATTAGTTAGTTTACTATCTTTGTGCTAATCATGAGAAGGACCCTTCTTATTATGTTTGAATTATTCATTTTTAAGGATTGCTTTTGATTTTCTTTCTTTTCAAGGAAAAGGGGCCATCTCTGATTCAGATAAACAGCTAATCACATATGAGAGGTATGAATAATTTAAAACATATTTTAAGAATATAAAAGAAATATATATTTATTTAATGGCTTATCGTGATTTATATATATGGCAAGAGTATTTTAAGTGCAGATACTTTATAACAATATACTTTCTGTCTTAAAAGTGATGTGATATCTAGACCACAAGAAACCTGGAATAGTATCTCCTTCAAATTTTTGTTCTTTCCTCATAGTTTATTTCTTTTACTCCTCTCCAATCACCTTTGCCCTAATCTCCAAAGAAAAAAGCTAATGCATCTGACATAAACTAACTTAAATGAAATTATTCTGATGATCTTATCTTTTTCACTGTCCTGAAAACACCTGCAGCACTTACACTTCTTCCAAGTGTAAGAAGCAGTAAAACAAGAGAGGTGACAAATTCTCTCTGAACTTCCTTAACTTAGGACATATACCTGATTTTGAATTACTCTTTTTCCCAGCTGTCACCTGATGGCCCATTCCAGGTTATTCAAGAAAGCACTCAATCTTCCAAAGAGACATTTTTGAGTTTGGGAAAGAAGGAAAATAAGAACTTCTCATGAACTATCTTATATTTATTTTAATATTCAGATTTTGATCCTCAGACTGTCACAGGTTTTTTGGATGCCTTTTGCCAATAAAAAATCAATATTTTATTTTCTAGCTCTCTACAGTTCTCTACAGATGTATCACTGATTCCTAACAGAAAAAGTTTTTCAATACAATTACAAGGGATTGTAGATGGATTAGAAAACATCATTGGTAAGTAATGTATGTACATGGTGGATGCTACTGGTGCTCACTGGAAATTTTTTTGATGTAATATAGATTATTTACTATCCATCCAACAAAACAAAATAAAGATCTAACTGCCAGATCTAATCTCATTAAAAAATTTCAGTTGAGTTGAAGCAATTTAGAAGATTAAAAATGTGTGTGAGAGTAATTTGCTATATATTAGTATTGGTCTCACATTAGAGTCACACCACTTTATGATATTTCCTCCACTCAGATTTGATCTCAAGATTTTCCAGACTCACTTTGTGTATTTTGTTGAAGTAGCTTTCTTGACTTGATTGTGCAACAGGTCAGAAGCTTCCAAAATTCCAAAGCTTCCAAAATTCCTCCCAAAATCCCTTGTCTTGTCCTTGACACCCACACCCACCTCCTCCTCCTCAAGTGCTTTTGTACTGGAGACAAATTCCTTGTGTGTCTAATCACACTTGGCCAAATAAAGAATTCAATTCAATTAAGTGCAATTCAGCTAACAAGTTGCAACTAGTGACTACCTTATACTGCAGCAACTGCTACTCCAAAGACCAATTGTAAGTACCACTCATTTACTGGGAGTGCATCATATACTGGGACTATTACTCTGCAAAACTAGTTTCAGGCTTCTCTTACTTTAAAATATTCTGTAAAATATTCTTCAAACATTAGTGCAACTCCCACATTTACTTACTGGATATTTAGTATTTATTTTCATTTGAGCTGTAATATTCACTCTGTTAACAAAGATAAACTTAAATATGGATTCTCTTTTGGAACAAGCAAAAGCAGAATTTTAAAATAAGTTTAAACTTACCAATTCAAGAACAAGACTATATGCATATTTATTTAATAGCAAGTATCATTGTGTTCAGTTGAGTTTTATTTTAAGTAAATGTGCAGAGGATTGCTTTGTTAATTTAAAACATATGACAGTGCTTTTGACTATGTGTGGGACAGTGCTTCTGTTTGGTAATGCAGTTCATAGTCTTTAATAGAAAATGTATAGTTTTCAAAAATCTGTCTAAAACACAGGTGTCCAACTCACCGTGTCATGTTGATATCCCGTGACATATTGTGACTTTTTTGACTTTTTTGCGGAGCTGGGGTGAGTGTGGCCTATGGGTGACGCATCCGGCCTGCAGGCTACCAGTTTGATACCAGTGGTCTAAAAGTATCTGTTCCAAAAACATTCTGGTCAGTATTAAAAAATACTTGTATATTTTAGTGTTCCAGATCTTTTAAAACCTACATAAAGTATAATCACGTACAGGAATTTGCCAAATTCAGCCCCAAATTAATCATTAAACAAAATAAGCACATGCCTAGGACACTAAGAAAAAAAGCACTACAGGTTCTTGTATATTCCAGTGAGTTACTAAATTTAGACTTTAAAATATATGAGAATTATTGGGGAAAAATCTGAATTGATATTTCTGTTACATTAAAATTACATTAAAATAGTTAAAAGTCCTGAGAGTATTTACCCACCAGCCAGTGCTCACCCAGCAATTTTTAATTATTTTAAAAATGGTTTCATAATGAATTCTGATTTTGAAAATATTTTTAAATTACCATATTTTCCATTAGATCAAGTTACACCATTTTCTCAGGATTCTCGACTTTCAATCTTCATTGATCAGTCTTTACATAAAATAATGCAGCAATGTGAAGATTACACAGATTTTGAACCAGGACATTATCAATCAACATGGCCAAACTGTGATCTTATTCTTGGGACAGATCCAGATTACCAAAATAAAGTATGTTTCTGAAGTCGTATTATATGAGGGTAACAGTTTAGTGCTAAATATATTTCTAAATATTTTTCGTACCCTTATATTGATTCAAACCACGGACAATGGACTACATGTAATCTTTCAAATCTTTTTGTTGTAGCCTCCTAAAACTAAATATACCAAAATTTGGCTGAACTTCTAAGTTTGGCAGAAAATGTGAAAAATATAACTATGCATACATCTCAGTGTAAGAAATTGATAAGTAGTCACTTCTAAAACAATCAACAAATACAGCCTGCCTTTCTTTACAAAAGATTTAAGCTTCATTCTCTTTATATCAAAAAGACACAAGAAATATTATTTCCCCCATTTCCCCTACATATATAGATTTATCAGTAGATTAACACTAGACATTTTGAATTAATACTTCAATCTCATTATAAATCTTAACTATCAGAACTCTAAGAAATCTTTTTTGTAATCTACTGCTTCCATTATTTTCCAAACTTTAATGCCTTCAAATTCACACTCCAAAAAAATTATTCCAGAAATCCTGTGTCTTACTACTTGTGTGACATGTGGTATTAATGCATTTCCTACTGTGTCCCTTAGTTTCAAAAATAAGAAAAAAAGGAAATGAAAAGAAAGTAAAGAAAATCTGAGAACTTGTGGCCCATGGTTACTAAGTGGCTCTTCTTTAGCCAAGTCTTTTCAGTATGATCTACGTTTAGAACTTAACTTTTGAGTTTACAAGAATGTTTGTTTAAAAAAAATCTTAGTGTTATTACAAAAAGAAATGCAGGTTTATTTTCCACTGTTCTGGATTTTAAAAATGTTATCACATTTTTGTTTCTGTTTTGGATTGAAGCCAATGTAACCCCTTGACTTTAGGCTTTGTTTACTTAGTGCTTGTTTTTAATGTTCTTGTTTAAACATACAAGTAGTATTGATTAGGGGAACTAATTAATAGTATTTCAGCAGGGTATACAGGAATTTAATTCTTTTCATTGCTGCAGACCTGAAGTAAATTTATTCTTCTGTAATGCTCTTTGTATTGTAAGGAAATTTTATATTGGCGTCAGTGAAGTTAAAGTCCTTGTCTATTCCTGCTTTGACACTGAAAATATATTTATTTTAATTAATTATATGACCACTCATCTTGCAACAACAACTCTGGGAAACTAATAAACTTAAAATTCAAAATAGACCAATAACAATAAATATACTTGTGGCAACCAAGGACCATGACAAGAACAAGTATTAAAATACCACCCATTCCATTAATCCCATTAACTGAGACTTAGCTATACCTATTTAGTCCTGAGGCTCAAGTTAGTAGAAAATGCTATTCATACAATTTGATTACATAGGGTTAAAGTTAATAAGGTATGTATGCTAAGAATATAGTTCCTAAAAGCTAATCAGAAGAAATCACCACTATTTTAATGTGAATGCTATCAGTACTGTTTAATAACAATTTTGAAAGATGGTAGGATTACATCTATATGTCTTTGGTTTTTAAGTGTGTTTGTGAATGAATATACACACACACACTCACACAAATATAAAATTTGTTTCCATTTTATTTTTTTAGATTCTGGAGCTTTTATCTCTTCAGAGTTCTTCACTGGCCCGAGTAGAATCTTACAGCAGAAACTTTATGGAATATTGCAGTATGGTAGATAAAGCAAAATATACAAATGATAAAATGGTAGCATTGGAAAGAGAGTTGACTACAAAGGAGTTTAGAAATATTCTAGAAAATTATACAGTTGATGTAAAGGAGATTGTATGTATGCTTATTGAGAAACGCATCTCTCTGTTTAGAGTAAACAGTTTGAACTTTCAGACAGACTGCCTGCCATATTTTGAGGGTCTGCTTAAGACTATTCATTTTCATTTTTATACAGCAATTGATACAAAGAATGTGCATCTTGTTGAAGTAAGTATATCATTTTTATTTAATTAATTTCTTAAATTTCTTTTCCAACTATTTCACTGCAAATGTTTAAGTCAAAAAGTGCATTACATGGAAGACATAATTAGCTGTAATGGAGATCAAACTTGTTTGGTTATATTGCAGTTGAAATGAAATATCCAATAGCCAGATAGTTGCATTTTGGTAAATTATTACAAAGTGAAATGTGGACAGAGGGAAGGGTAATGGGTAGCCAGGCAAATTCAAATGTTGAGCTAAACTAAGATAGGCAGGGAATGGTAAAACAACTTCACGATCCCAAATAATTTTCAATCCCAATTCAAGGTGTTTCTTGTAAGTTCCTATTTGGACTATAAGTTCATCTTCAGAAGCATTTCTCCAGATACTTCTCCATGTTAAGATATGGTTAGTAGCAATCCAAGAGTGGACATTTTCAGTGCTAGCTTGTAGTCTTTGGAATGTCATCGCCATTGATACATGAATGATATCAACTTTTTCATCATTTCAATACCACGGCCAGGAAAAGATTTTTTGTTGTTGTGCTTCTAGGTCAGAGGTCCCCAACCTTTGGGCCATGGCTCACTAGTGGCCCATGAAGGGATTGCAACTGGGCCATGGAAATGGCCAGTGAGTGCACACGCAAACTGGAAATATAGACCCTTGAGAAGAGAAAAATCAGGGTTTGTACACTAGAACTCTTTAAACAGCTGAACGGATGGCCAGACAAGGAGACCAAAATATGGTCTTTTGTTCCAGAGCCTGTTTGTTCCAATGCTGTATCTTTTTGTTCCAGATACAGCATTGTTAGCTCTTCCAGGTAAATCAAACAAGAAACAGGACCAGATAAATTAATTCTACTTTATTGTAAGATTATATTAAGAGATTCTTGCAAGTCTAAAGTATAAACTTGCTCCGCCATTTTTAACTCTTTACTCCATTTGGCCAGGTCCTTCCTAAATTACTTTCTCTGACCTTCAAGCCACTGGGGGCCACTGCCTTTCCTGTCTGATTGTTTCCTAGGCAGCATCTCTTTCCCTCATTCCCCAAGGCCATTCATACATTCCATCACAAGAATAATGCATAAGTTACAGGAAGATGGACTCTGATTGATAGAAATCTTATTCCTACCATATTCCTGCAAGTGCAGGGTCCAACAGAAATAAAATTCCCAATTGCAAGTATGGGTTGTCAGTGGAACTCATTATTAAGGGAAGTGACAGGCTCCTCTCCACTAGATATGTTCAAGAGGAGACTAGTTAGGCGACTGTCCAGGCTGCTTGAATTTGGATTTTGTCAATGAGCACATGGTTGAATCTGAGGGCATAAATGGACTCTTCCACCTGTACAACTCTATGAAAGAATAAAAAAGATTGTACTGCAACCTCTGATCTCTTACAACCTGCATACGTTCAAATTATATTTGATGGCACTTGCAGTGCAAGAGGAATCCATTCTAGAAATACTGAATTAATTCTAGGGAATACTTCATTATGAATGAAACAACTAAAATACAATTAGAAAGTATGAATTGATATTAGCTGAATTATTCTTTGAAATTAGAAATCCATGGGATGGTGAGAGCTGGATGTGAAACCTTAGTGAATGATAGTAGTGGGAAAAAGAAATGACTTTGGAGTGAAATTTTGTAACATTTTGAATGAATACAAACCCAGGGAAATGTTGTTGGATGAGGAAAGGGGAATAAGTGCAGAGAAAGTTATTGGATCGTTCACAAACCAAAGAATGAATGAGATAGCATATGCCTCATTGGGCATCATTTCAGAGATATTTCCTTACTCATATACAGAATGATCAAGGGTGGGCATTACGACTTCCAACTTCCTGCCAACTTACAGGATTTTGCAGAGAGCATTGGAAATTTTGCTTTGCCTTTCCTTGCCAAATGTTATTCCCTTATGAGTCTTGAGTCCCAAATGTTGGATACATTCTGCATTTGATGTATCTTTGGTTCAAAATTATTGCCCTATAATGCACTGTGTCACCCAGTTAAAGGTCACAATAATGACTGTTTTAAAAGTATGTATGTAGTTTTCTCCTTTTTTTGCATAAACACAAAATTAGTTCAATGGTTTGAACTTATGATTATCAGTACAAAAAAAATCTATTTTGGGTTTTTCGTAATGTTAGAACGAAGTTGACTTTTGATGCTCTCTGTGCTTGGTTGTTTTTCTGCAGATTTTTCATTATCAAACTGGGTAACATCAGTTGGGAGTAGGGCTTGCTCTCATTCTACATATTGTAAATGGCTTGCCCTATCAGTGTTGATGGGAGTGATCTTAATGGTTCCTTGATTGGACTGTTGTTTACCAGCAGCTTGTTTGTCTGAACTGGAAATTCCCTGATTGGGGTATTATTTGGTTCTTGATTATTGTGGTATTATTCTCTGCACATCTGGGTGTTAATTGCTGGTGGGGATGGGTTTTGGTCTTTTAGTTTCCTTTTTTACTGTATCTTTTGAATGATATGTAGATGTTTTGTATCTCTATGTGCTTGTTGATAGTTGATTTGTTTGAGTGCTAGGCTTCTAGAAATACGTTAGTGTTTTTGGACTTGTTTGGTCTAGAATGCTCACGTTTTCCAAGTTGAAACTATGGTTAAATCTATTCATGTATTGTGAAATTAAGGAGTTTCCTTCATGTCTTATTACTGCTAGTTGATGTTTATAGATGTGCTCTGCTAGTCTTCTGCTTGTTCGTCCTACATAATAGCTGCTGCAGTCCTTATACTGTATGTTGTAGGTGACTCCTATTTTGTCTTCTGGGGTTGCTGGGTCTTTTGGTTTGTTTTGGAGGGCTTTAATTGGTTTTTGTGCTATGGTGATGCCATGTGATTTTCATCATCTGTTGATGGTTTCTGAGATGTTTTTGAGGTATGGTGGTATTATCTTTTTCCCAACTTGTATTGGTTGTGCTATACTGGATTGATTGCTCATGAACTTTTTGATGAAGTTGCATGGATGGCATTCATTTTATTGGAAGATGTTGTATAATGATCTAGTTCCTCTTTCTGATGTTCAGGGTTGCCGCAGTGTGATTGTGCTCATCTAAATAGTGTTCTTTCATAGATTCTCTTGAGAGAGGTTGGGTTGTTACTTTGGTAGTGGAGCACTTGGTTGGGATTTGGTTGGGTTTTACAATATCTTTGGGTTTCTAATTTGCAATCACTACTTCTGCTGGTAGGGATATCCAAGAAAAGTAGCATGCTATTGTTTTCTTTCCCCCAATGAATTTTATTCATTTGAGAATGTTGTCAACCTGTAAAATATTCCTATGCCTGTTTTCAAGTTGCCATAAATGGGGGAGGGGAATCTGAAGGAGCAGTATGGCAGTAAAACCAGAAGTACATTCCCCCATTATCTTAAAAAGATTGTAGCTAGGCTACTGGATCTTCTGGCCACAAAAATCCTTTATTGGAGAATATGATTGATGACACCCAGCCCATGAATGTGCTTCATTGGCGAATCTGATTTATGATAAACCCGGGGGGGGGGGGGGAAACAGGGTCACAGGCAGGGGTGGGATTCAAATTTTTTAACAACTGGTTCTGTGGGCATGGCTTAGTTGATGGGTGTGGCTTGGTGGTCATGTTATTGGCTGGGCGTGGCCAACTCAATATCACTCACATTGAGGCATGCATCTCCTCGCCTGGCCTTTCATGACTGTGGAGATGCTGCAACAGTCATAAGTGTGAAAAATGGTCATAAGTCACTTTTTTCAGTGCCATTGAACTTTGAATGGTCACTCCACACAAGCAAAGTACCAGCAAAGGAGGGAAAAAAATTCCAGAGACCTTCCTGAGACAGGAATTCTAGTCCTGCCAAGAATGTAATAAGGGTTAACGGAGAGGCAGTTTCTGAAAGCAACACCAGAATGTTTCCTTCCTGCCTTCCTTACAGGATTAGGCCAATAATTTCTTCTAACAACCGGTTCTCCGAACTGCTTAGAATGTTAACAACCAGTTCTAGCGAATAGGTGCGAACTGGTAGAATCCCACCCCTGGTCACAGGTGACTGTGAATTATGTATGCAAAAGTTGGCTTCATTTAGGTTAATGACGGTATGTTGCTTCTAATAGATCTTTTGAGGGTTTTTTTAAGCTTGGCTTGAGGCTCATGATTTAATTAGGGCTATCTCCGGAACCCTGACACATATCCTGTAGTTGGTCCATATTTATTATGACAAAGTTGCCATCTACTTGCTGGCTATCAATTTTAGTACTGCAGTGCTATAATTCTGATACTGATAAGAAAGCATTTACTGCAAATTCTTTCTTTCTGAAGAAAATTTCTCTACTTCTCTAACATTCCCAGAGATTCATATAGTCTCAGCAGTACTGAAATTCAGAAAAGCCATAGAAACATAGTTATTCCAGCAGGTATTGGGGGCTGAAATATCGTCATATACTTCTTTGTACTAATAAAGTATCTGTTTAAATCTGATCTGTGTTCCCTAAAATGTAAGTATAATATAGGTGCAATCATATTCTATATCATAATTGATGTCATTGTTTTAATTTTATTATTTTAATTATTGTTACTGTTTTAACTTGATTTATGCATATTGGGTATCTACACCTCTCACAATATAACAGTTGGAATAATTAGTAAAGTAATAAACTGTATCTCAATTGTGATCAAAAGCTTCAGGAGTTTTCCAAACAGAATACTACCATAACAAGAAATATATACATATACATATGTATGTTTTCTTAAGTTTTCGCAGGTACTTACATGTATGGTAATCAGCTTTGTTCGGGTATTTTCCCACATCATTATAGTTGTGCTTTTAAAGTTGTAGCAACATTTCAGACGAACACAATACAGAAGCCTGATGATGGCAGATGAGATTCTGCCGAAACGTTGCTAAAACTTTAAAAGCACAACTATAATGACGTGGGAAAATACCCGAACAAAGCTGAATACCCCCCTCCCGCGTAAAATTGGAAGTATCTAGGCGACGTTTCGATGAAGTCTCATTCATCATCTTCAGGCTTGTGTCTTCGGCTTTGTGCATTTTGTTGTGGAGATATCCTGGATCTTGTGTTGTAATCAATTGGTGTAAACAAACGACCCAGGAGATTACAGCACAAGATCCATGATATCTCCACAACAAAACTCCCAAGGCCATCACACAGCCCATTATACCAACATCAACTCCATCAACCAATCAAGAGGCAGCAGCGCAGCTAACCAGCCCAGCACACCACCCCCCCCCCCCCCCAGTATTTATAGAGAGACGGCAGCTCCGATCACTCACTGCTTGCACTGGCACGAAGCCGAAAGCACCAGCCTGAGAATGGCAAGTGGGACCTCGCTGAAACGTCACCAAGATAGTCTATATCTTACACGGGAAAAGACCCAAACACACTTAGACCTACATATATAAATATAAATATAAATATTTGTATATATATATATAAAAATACATCTTTGGATACATCTTTAAATATTTACTATTTCATTACTTTTAGGTCACTCAGTCAGCGGTAGCAAAGTTGAACAAAGAACTAGTAACAGTGGATGGATTTGTTGAACATTTGCTATATCTTCAGGAAATTTCCTCACAACTACCAAATATAAAGGTTGAATATCACTACCTTTCTGAGCTCCACTTCATTGCAAATGATTATAACATCTTTCTCCCACACCAGCAGCTTGCTCTCTATCAAACTGTTGTGCGAACACTCCAGAATCTTCAATCAACTATCCTTATCTGTGAAAAAATGAAGGATGATTATGTTATCAAGTTTAATGAAAGCTTGGGAGAATTTATGGATAATTTACAAGTTGAAATGAAAGAATACAAAAGCAAGGTAATAGGATAATAACAAATATATTTGCATCTGATTCATAGTAGCAAGGTAAAAAAATCTCAAAGCAAAATACATACAATTACTATTATTTTATTTGTTTGTTTATTAAATTATTTTCTGTCCATCTTGCTGTGAGGCTAAATCTGGATAGCTTACAACAATAAAATGGGAAAATGATAAAAATGTAGAAATAACAATAGTAAAGGAATAAAACGGTAAAAATAAATAGTGGAAGTACAATAATATGACATTAAAAAGATGAGCAAAGGGAGAGCAGGAAGTGCAGGGGTGGGATGGGTCAGTTAGTTAGTCTAGCAGCCACCTCCAGTAAAATACTCCCCTATTGGATCCCCAGGCCAACTGGCAGAGCCAGGTCTTCAGGTCCTTGCAGAAAAATAGGAGTGTGGAGGCAAATTTCACCTTAGCGGGCAGGATGTTCCAAAGGTCTGGCACTATAGCAGAAAACGCTGTTCTCCTGGATACCATAAATTGGAATTCCATGACCAATGGGGTCCTCAGCAGGCCTCTCTGCTGGCATGAGTAAAGCATATTTATCTTAGCAAGACAAGATCAACTTGTTCATTCCACAGGCCCCAAAGACTGCTGGTGCTGCCACTCCTTGAACCAGTTGAAGTTCTGAACGCATTTCAAGGAGAGCCTCTTGTAAAATGGATTAAAGTATTCCAGATGAAAGATTATTAAGGTTTGAGTAACTGAGTACATGGAGTCCTGATCCAAGAAAGGCTGCAGCTGGTGTACTAACTAATGCTGAGCAAAGACTCTCTTAGACATGACTGCCACCTGATCTTCAAGCAGAAGTTGTGAGTCCAAGAGAATTCCTAAGTTGCAAAATAGTTCTGAACATGATAAAGATGTCAAAGTCATGCATCTTGAAGCTCCATGCACCCAAAGTCACTCAGTCTTTCCAGGGCTCAGTCATAGCTCACTGCCCTTCATCCAGGTTCCTACAGCCTCTAAATACCTGAGAGAGTTGTGAAAGCATAGAAGGATTTTATCTTCTATTCCCCACCAATTAGTCAGAACTGAAAAAGCTTCTTGTATGAGAAGTGAAACTTTTCAAGGGGAAAAAAATCAAGACCATTTAGTTGCCTTTTGAAAAGCACCTTTGGGACAACCATGTCCTGGATGACTGAGAATATCCATAGACATTCAGCATATTGGTGATATTTTGACCCCTGGTGACGGATGATCTCACCCAGTAGCTTCATGTACAAATTAAACAGGAGTGGAAAGAGTATCGAACCCTATGGTACACCATATGAGAGTGGCTAGAGAATGATTATCAACACCAATTGGGAACTACCTTGGAGGAAAGGAGCTAATTTAGCACAGAACTGTGCTCTCAGCCCTAAGTTCCATAACCGGCCCAAAGAATACCAAGTTCAATGGTATTGAAGACTTCTGTGATGTCAAGGAGAGCCAAGATGGTTGCACTACCTCCATCTCACTCTTGTCAGATTTTGTTATGACCTCAGTGTTTTTTCTTTTTCTTTTTAATGTCATTTAGAAATTATTTCTATTTCAGGTTTACACAGAATGGAAATGCTGATGTTAATTCAATCTAGGCTTAGAAATAACACTCATTGAGAGCAACTTCAGTACAATAAGCAAAAACTGACTCTGATTCATACTTTTTAACAATAATAAAAAAAAAAGTTCCTGCTTCTTTTCTCATGTACATGTCAATTGTTCTATTATTCTTCCACGTTACTCCCACGATCTTTCCTTTTCTGCCTTGAGCCCTATAGCACATGCAGTAGTAATTATGTGTGAAAGGCAGAAGAGTAGGAGAATTTAATCTTCTACCCTCTACTGTCTACTTTTGCTAATTGGGAAATTGAATGCATTCCACTTTGGGGGTGATAATTCTTTCAAATCCGTTGTCTGTAGTAGCACTATTATAAAATTAAAGCAGCAATAACTAAACTATGGGCTTTGTGAAATCCTGTCATGCCCAATTATGCATAAAAGTATAGCAATCCTTCTCTGAAAAGAAAAAGAGAGAATGTATGTTGTACTAAGGGAGGATATAGGCAACTTTGTTCAATGTAATGGACCAATTTACTTTTAAAAAATATTTTCCTTAATTTTGCCAAACTATAATTATTTCTTTGTTATTAATTGTTATTCATGTTGTTGTTTAGGTGAGAAATCCTGTCCTTCTCCTCAGTGAAACCCTGCCTAAGACAGCTAAAGAAATGATTGAAAATCTTATTGAAGAAGCAGGAATTATCAGTGAGAAAATTTTAAATTATGCAAATTACCAGCACGTGCTTGATGGTGCCATTGGTGACATGAAATCATTGTCTGTGGAAAAACTGTCTCACAGAAGTCAGGCTGGAGATTCTCAGAGAGTGAATGCTGAACTCTCAGAAATTGAAGGTGAACTACAGTTACGTAAATTGTTATGGGACTCACATGAAGATTGGGCAAAACTTATCTTTAAGTGGAAACATACAATCTTTTGGAATCTTGATGTAGATGTAATTCAAAGTGAAGTTAACAGATTCATGCAGAGAATTCATATTCTTGAAAAAGGTAAAATGTTTATAATTGCAATAATTATGAATTAATCGAAACAAAATAATTTATGAATTAAAATTATTTTGAAATTAAGTAATAACCAATTTTGTTTTAGCCAAATGGCAAAACATTATTAAAGGAAGTCTATCTTTTCGGTTTTTAATTGTGAGATTATTTTGATTTGATGCATTGAAAACAAGATGTTATTTATATAAAGATCATACAAGTGTTTTGCAAATCCCCCCCTTTTCATTGATTTATTGTATAAAAATACTTTTTAAACTTTGAAGATGAACGATTTTGTGTTAAAACTTTTTACCTGCATGTTTGGATTATAGTTATGTGCAGTTTTAGTAAATTTTCATACGCTAGCTATTATAATTAATTGTGATAACTAAGATCATAATTGACTGTAGTGAAAATCATTAATATAAAGCCAACAATGGATTGGTTTCACAGGGGGTTAGAAAGATAGGAAAGAAAAAATGGAGCATAGCCATACGTGCACATTAAATTTCAGGAGAACTAGTTTCAATAAGTTTGGAGATGTATTAGGCAGGACCCTGCGAATAGAAATTAACAAAGAGAACACAGAAGAGTTGGAAGCATGTCAAAAATTAGATACTGAAAGTACAGTTAGGCAACATACTTCAGCTTCAACCATAACAACACAAGAGCACACAATAGATACAAACTCAAGGTTAACCGCACCAAACTTGATTGCAGGAAATACAACTTCAGCAACAGAATGTCAGCAATGTCTGGAATACTCTACCTGATTTTGTGGTTTCTTCCCCAAACCCCAAAAACTTTAACCTTAGACTGTCTACTATTGACCTTACCCCTTTCCTAAGAGGTCTGTAGGGGGCGTGCATAAGCGCACCAATGTGCCTACCATCCCTGTCCTATTGTTTCTTTTATTTTTCTTATATGTACCCATTTCATGTATTCATAACTATGTACTGTATATACTTATACCTATTATCTTGTAAGCGATTGACAACTCAAATAAATAAATAAAAAACATGTCAATGGAAAAATAGAGGGTAGCTTAGAAAACAGTTGTTGATGCATAGGAGCTTTTGACTGGGCTATGATTTTAAAGACTTGGAATAAGAATGAAACCCAAAACCCTGAATCAGAACATTCAAGGAAAAAAATACTCAGGACTACTCTTTGAGGGAACCTATTATAAAGGGAAATTTCTATAAGCAATAGTAATATATTAATATGTTTAATATTAAAAAATAATAGGAATACAAAAAAGATTTGAATCAGTCAAATGCACAGTGAATCTTATGTGAGAAATGGGTGGGGAGGGGGGAACAGACTGTCACCTAGACAACAATATCAAGAGTATCAGTGGTTTCAATTGTTACATATATTTAGCTGGGAGAAAATGAGACTATAAAGAGACTATTCCTTTCTTCAGCGATACCTTGTAGAAAATTGGCATAATTGATAAGAATTGTTCTAGAAAATTTGTCAAGAAATAATGGGTTCAAGTTACAAGTAAATTTGATTGCATATCAGAGCCACCTCATAAATTGGTGGATTTTCTGTTTTTGGAAATGCATAAACAGAGTCTGGATAGTCTTCTTTTGGTCATGTTGCACTAATGGATTCCTGCACTGAGCAACGACTTAAACAGAGTGGTTGATTTCCAAGGTTTCTTCCAAATCTGACATTCTGTGAATTTCAAGAAGTCTGTCAAAAATTCAAAACAATCTTATGTAAAGAAAGATCAACAAAAGCTCAGATTTCAAACATTATGAAAAGTGTTCTGATATAACTTTTTCGTATTTGAAGGCTTGCCAGAAAATACTATTTTACCCATTATGAAGAAATCCTTGTTGGATTTTAAGGAATCCTTGCCTATAATCATATCTTTACGGAATCCTAGTCTTCAACGAAGGCATTGGGAAACAATACAGAATATTGTTGGAGAGGCAATTTCTTGGGATAAAAGACTTACTCTGGAGAAGATCCTGGAACTCAATGTAATTTTATAATTTGTAATTTAGAAATGCCACTTCTAAAAGCATATGTATATTTTTGTTATTTGGTTCATATCCTATTTGCTGAATATGCATCTTAATTATTTATATAATTTGTTTTGTTTACTAGCATGCATTAGTAAATCTTTTATTTATTTTTTTAGATGTTTCAGTATAGAAAAGATATTAATGAAATATCCATAAGAGCTTCCAAAGAAACAACTCTTGAAGTAATGTTTAAAAATATCATTAGCCTTTGGCAGAAAACTGATTTCCACTTATGTCCCTATTACACTGAAACATCTAGTGTTTGTATTATTTCATCTGTGGAAGATATAACTACTCTGTTAGAAGAATCTCTGATGACAATCTCAACCATTAAAAGTTCTTGTTTTGTTGAACCAATTAAGGTAATTTTTCTATGAGGATGTTGTGAAATATTGAAATGCTCAATTATTACAAATAGCTGGTTTCCATTTGGAATATCTAAGAAAAATCAGAAATAACTTATTTTTTAAAATCAGTATAGTTTAAAATTTCCTGCTTTGCCTCTACAATAGTGGCTAATGAATATTTTAAATTATCAAATTTAAAATATAAAAAAATATGTCCCACTTCCCCATTTCTACTTAAAGAGAAAATTGTTTGCCTGCCTCAGATGCTAATTTTCTGGGTTTTTTTTTTATGGTAGAATCTTGTTCATGCTTGGGATCATAAGTTAAATCTCATTTCCTGTACTCTGGAGGAATGGTTAACTTGTCAGAGACACTGGATTTATCTGGAGCCAATCTTTCAGGCTCCAGAAATAAAAAGGTATGCTGAAGTGCTTTGGTAATTAAATTTTAATGTAACCCAAATAAAATACAAATTGAATAAATATTAAAATATTAAACATTAGCTATAGATCAGAAGTTTTCATTTCTGTGCTGCAAAAAGTCCACATATGTGTTGCATCAATGAGTCACAAATAAATGACAAGAAATGTTGCACAGCCAGAACTCTTCTTCAATGACATCACCAGGGATGGACTGCTCCATGGGACATCATGGGAGTTCCGGAAGTCCCTATGAGATGTGTGACTGCTCAAGTTCGCATTTTCTCAGTGTGTTATGAGATGAAAAAACTTAAAAGCCACTGCTGCATTTGTTGTGCTGTAGTCAATGCTTTGGAATGCAATAAATTACATTACTAGTGTTTCTTTATTTAATATAATTTATATAGCTGTTCATTTCCCCCAAAAATTCCTGGTGATGTGTAAAGATTAAAATAAAAGGAATAATAATATAAATTATAAAACAATAAAATACCCCCAAGAAGGCATAAACTAATCTGCATTTTTGTTAAATGCTGTTTTCATTAGTAGTCATATAAAATAATTTCATGAAAATAAGTTGAACATTGTGTACTTGACAGATGAAAAGATGTTTACTATACTAACAATGTGCAAATCATTTTGAATTCAAAGCAGTTCTGTTTGAAATAGGCTATTTGGACCTTATTGGAATAGTGTAAAATTCAGGTGAAGTTGGAATATCCAATTTTGACCTTGAAATAGCTGCTTTGAATTCAAAATAGTTTTAACACTGTTAATATGTGCCAGTATATATTTCTGTAATAATGATTCTGAATTTTAAAAAATGCATTTAAACAGTACTTAAATGAACAGTGTTATTATACATAAACTACCTCTAGTATCATTTATTTCTTATATCTCTAACTTGGCCAATAATTAATGCTTTCTGGAGAAATTAGGGAGTTACTTTAAACATTAAAATAATTAAAATATAAAAATAATACAAGCAATCTCAAATGGTCATGAATATTTTTGTGGAAGTGGGGTCATGCTCACTCCTGCTTTTGCTGAACTACCTGTACTGGACCAAATCATGCATAGAATCCAGGTGATGAGTCCCTCCTTCAATGCCCTTTGAACATACAGCAATAAGTTCTTGCAAAATCCACTTTTGAGCACCATCCAAGGCAAATCAGAAAAGATCAAAGGACCCTTACCAAATATGACTTTCCCTTTTTTCCAGAACAGCTTTTCCTAAGGAATATCCCATTCAGTCCTGGTGCTCAGGATCTATGCCTGAGGATTGTGCTGCTGCTACTTGCAGGAGGAGTATGCATGTGCACATGTTTCTGCATATATGGAAAAGTGTTATGCACAAAGCACAGACACTTGTTTATCACTTAGCTTTACTTCTAGATCAGGAATTCCAGAATATTTTTAAATGAGAAGGTTGTATGGACTGAAAAGTTTGAAAATTCTGTTGTAATGTAATTACCCATGCTAGATATTGTTTGATTACTTTTACAAATAATTTTGTATTTTTATTTCAGATGTGATATTGCATGCATGTTATTATTGTTGTTTTTTCTTTCTAATTTACCTGTGGAAAAGTAGCATAAAAATGTTGCTTTTTTTGTCTAAGCATATGGCTTAATGTATTAACACATTTTTTTCTAAATCTAAATTTGGAGGATTAGATTTTTTACTATGTGTGTATGTGTATGTATCATATCCATATTCATATCCATATGATTTAATAACAGACAACTTCCAGAAGAAGCCAGACTCTTCTCTGTAGTTGATAACAAATGGAAAGAAATCATGAACTTTGCAGCAGAGACTCCAAATGTTCTTACGGCAACTACAAGTGGAATTTTTGAAATACTGCAGAGCAACAATGCATCACTAGAAAAAATACAGAAGGCTCTTGAGGTAAGTCAAAGAATCTCTAATATCTGGCAAGGAATCAACATGGACCACAATGAATAACATTTTGTAAACAGGAGAAGGCAAGAAGCATAGACTAGCTTCTGCACCCCATACATAGTATTCTGTTGTAGGAACTATAGTTTTATTCTTCTTGCAAAGAAAAATGAGTAGGAACTGGGACTGGCAGACTGTGGGCTCTTTTTCTTAGATTATGCCCATAGACAAATTTATTATAGACACACAAACCTGTCAGTCTGCCTGTCTCTTTAGTGTTGGCCATTGCTTTCAGAGTAAAATACAAATACAAATAAGAGCACAACACTGTAAATAATGCAGCTGATATAATTGTTAACTAAACAATTAAATATTAAATGTCTGCCAGAAGAATTAATTAGTTTAACTTAAATTAGCTTCTGATTATATTTTATCTTGAAATCATAATTCCAAGTTGCATTTGAGAAAAGAAGAATGGCATTATGAGCGACGGTGGCACAGTGGTTAGAGTGCAGTACTGCAGGCTACTTCTGCTGACTGCTGGCTGACTGCAATTTGGCAGTTCGAATTTCACCAGCTCAAGGTTGACTCAGCCTTCCATCCTTCAGAGGTGGGTAAAATGAGGACCTAGATTGATGGGGGCAATATGCTGACTCTGTAAACCACTTAGGGCTGTAAAGCACTATAAAGCGGTATATAAGTCTAAGTCCTATTGCTATTATAAAATTCAGACATCTGTGAAATTCAAAGAAACATTAGACTTTAGTTCATACATTCATAAAAATTATATTGGGGGGGGGGGGGGGGCGGAGATAGCCAGAATGGATGACAGACGCTGAATTTCTGCCTCTTCCGGGTCATCTCTGAGAATGGATTTAAAAGAACATATCACCCATCTAAACATTACGAATATCAAGAGATTATGAAATGTGAGTTATTCTCCTTGCTTTTCTCCTGAAGATTGGACTGTATTTTACTTGGAGACGGGAGAGGAAGGGCCTATGATTGAAGACTGAAAAAGAACTTGGAAAGAGTTTAAAGGTGTCGAGGTCTGGAGAAGGTGGAAGAACTAAATATTTTCAAGACAGAGCCTTGATAAGGTGTGGGCAATAAATTGTTGCCATTGGATTTATTTAGTTTTTATTAAGTTGCATTTACGGAGATAAGTTGATAAGGACAAGACAAAAGAGGAAGACTATAACATTCTTAAAAGGTCAAGAGCTCTTTTAGGACAGTTGGATATCAAAACGCAGCAAAAGTGTGGAAAGTGTTTGGCAAAGACTCAAAGTAGGCCTTAGACCTTCAGAATTACGTCTGATTCAAGTGGAAAAAGCCCTAGAAATGGAAGTGAGGAAAAAAATCACCTGAGAAATCACTGATTAAATCAGATAAATTTGATGCTATCTTACAAGAGTTAAAAATTGATATGAAGATAAATATAAAGGAGGAATTGAAACAAATAAATGATAAAGTGGATAGTATTGGATGTAAGAATAACGGAATTGGTGAAACGAAGTTAGGATATGACACAAGATATTACACAAGTAAGGACTCAGATGGGACTACATGATAGGGTGTTAAAAAGCCAGATAACTATGATGCATCAGGTGAAAAAGGATTTGATCAAGATACAGGACTGATAGTGCCATTCAAATTTATGGATACGTGGATATCTGGCAAAAAGTAAAGAAAATGAAGTAAAGTTGATCCAAGAAGTATTGGACTGGGCTACCTTGATCCTCCCAGGTGTCCCCTTTATAAGATATGATATTGATGTAATACATAGAGTTGGCCCAAAAAGGTTGGGAAGAAAATTGCTGAGAGACATTGTGATATGATTCTGATCTTACACAAAAAAAGAACAATTGATGCGTAAATTGCAAAATATGGCGTTGATAGTGTTTGGAGGGTCATCAGATACAAGTTTTTCCAGATTTAAGTAGTGAAACTTTACAATGGAGGAGACAGATGCATCAAGTTTGTCAATTATTGAAGAAAAATAATATTAATTATAGCTGGGGTTATCCAGGTTTTTTTTTTTTTTTTTTTGAGATTTGGTGGAAGATCCTATAGAGTTGAAACAAAGGAGGAGGCAATGGAGAAATTTAAGGGAGCTCAGAATCATCAATAAAGAAGAGCTCATGGAACAAATCCAGTAAGTGAATGAGATGTCAAAATTATCAAGAAGGGAGATGGATAAGAAGAAAGAAGAACTACAGGAGAAAGGGATGCTGGATGAAGCAACAGGAGTTACAAGTTCATTGTAGAGACAGTATATAAATATTTGTAATAGTTGTATTAAGAGATACATGCTATAATATATGTTTGGGTGTAGAAATAGAGTAAAGATCGTCAAGGGAGGTGAAGTGGGCGAAGTCCATACATGAATGGCTCCTCCTCCCCCCGGAGGCCTTATGCAGCAGAGAGGAGGAAGATCTCCTGAAGAAGGGAAGGGGGACGTTATATATGTTTATGGATGGATAAGAGGTCATTTACGTTTTGGGATAATATGTATACTGTATAGTCTTAGTTTTGTAAGATTTATGTTAGAGCACATATGGAGACCAAAGGGAATATGTAATATGAGGAATAGATGGGGAAATCATTAAAGGTAGCTATGTGGAATGTCCATGACTTGAGGGAAAAATATAAATGAGCAAAAATTGAAAAATCAATTAACAAAGAGAAAATAGATATTGTATTTTTACCAGAAACACATCAAAAGAAAGAAGGGATGAATGAACTTAAGTTATACTGGGCTGATGTATGAAAAGGCATTTGGTACATCAAAAGCAAAAGGGGTAGCAATCATTGTAGCTAAAAGATGTGAATTTATGATAAAAGCCATAAAAAGGGATGATATGGGAAGATTTCCTATAATCCAAGGCTTGATTTATGGACAAGAGGTTACCTTAGCAAACTTGTACGCACCTAATATAAATCAAAGAGAGTTTTATAATAGGGTGTATAAAGAAATAGAAAAGTCAAAAAACATTATGTGATAATGGCAGGTGATCATAATACGGTTATGAATAATGGAATTGACAAATCCAATCCATCAAAAGCGGAAACAAAGTATAATAATGCAGATTTAAGAAAATGTATTAATAGAAATAGATTGAAAGATGTTTGGAAAGAACTACATGGTAATCAAGAGTTATACATATTTTAACAAGAATAGATTATATATTTATAACACCGGAAATATTATCTAAAATAATTAAAGTAGAGATAAAAATAATTAAAATATCTGATCATGTAATGGTAGCTATGGATAGAAATGAAATAGATAGTGATTATAAACAGGCAAGTAGATGGAAATGGATTTGAGGATTTTGGAAAATAAAGAGATTTTAGAAAAAATGGAAAGGGGGTTAAAAGAAATATGGAGATAGTAATATAGATGTAACATGGGATGCAATGAAAGCACTAGTGAGAAGTTTAGGGATAAAATACTCTTATAATATAAAAAAATAAAAAGAGAAATATATTAAACAGTTGGAGGAAAAATTAGGGAACTAGAGAGTAAATATATAGAAAGCAGAAATAGGATTATGTTAGAACTATCAGCTAAAAGAAAAGAGTTGCAAAATATTGAGACAGAACAGGTTCAAAGAAATCTAATATATTTAAACAGGGAGTTTTATGAAAATAGTAATAAAAATTATAGAATGTTGGCTAGAGCCACACAAGTTAAAAAGGCAAAAAGCCTGATTGGAGTAATACAGAAAGATAAGGGGGAAAGATGTAACATGATGAGAGAAAAGTTGTTGATATTTCAGAAGTTCTTTGAAAAGTTATATAAAGGAAATGACATAAATATGAATGAAAGTCAGGCATCTATAGAAAATAATTTAAATTGTAAAATTCAAAAATATGATAAAGAAATAATGGAATCATAAATAGAAGAAAAGGAAATAGTGGAAGTTATTAACAAATCGAAAATATGTAAGGCACCAGGGTTAGATGGACTAGGTGTAGAATATTATAAAATTTTTAAAGGACTATTGGTGCCGAATATGAAGATAGTGTTTAATAAAATAATGGAAGGGAAAAATATTCCAAGTTCCTGGAAGCAATCCTTGATAATACTGATAGTGAAACCAGGTAAAGATCATACAAACCCAAGATCATATAGACCAATATCCCCTATTAATCAGGACGCTAAGATTTTTACAGCAATATTGGCAAATAGATTGAATATATTTATAGAAAATTATATTAAAAATGACCAGTGTGGATTTATAAGAGGCCGACAAATGTCAGATGTAGTAAGAAGAGTATTAAACATAGGTTATTATATAAAGAATCAAAAATTGAAGGCAGGTGTATTAGCATTAGATGTATTTAAGGCCTCTGATTGTGTGGAATGAAGATATTAATAGAGAAGTTAGGTTTTGGAAAAACATTTAGAAAAGTGATAAATCAATTATATTCAAAGAATAAAGTGAGAATAGTTATAAATGATGGTGTTTCAGAGACAATAACCTTAAGCCGAGGAATGAGACAGGATTGCCCTTTATCTCCAGTATTATTTGCATTATTGATGGAGGTTTTGGCAAATGCAATTAGGGAAGATTCATTGATTGAAGTAATTGGTGTACAGAAGAAAACTAAAATAAATTTATTTGCAGATGATACATCATTAACATTTCAAAATCCCGTAGTTATCATAGAGAGGATATACTTACAGCTGAATGAATTTGGGAAATATAGCAGATTACAAATAAATTGGGGGAAAATCAGAAATGATGTTATATAACCATAGTAAAGAAGAAATGGATGTATTGAAAGGAAAATATAAATTAAAAATAGTAGATAGTATTATGAAAAGTTACAGAAAGATATAAAAGATAAAATAGATAAATATGAAAAAGTAAAATTATCATGCTTTGGAAGAATTGCAATGGTAAAAATGAAAGTTTTACCAAAAATTAATTTTTTGTTTTGGATGATCCCAATTAAATTTTCAGTTCAAGAATTAAAGCAAATACAGAGATTGCTGGAGGTGCATTGTAATGGAGGCAAGAAAGCAAGAATAAGTAAAGCATTATGGTATGAACCATTAAAAAAGGGTGGACTGGGTCTTCCAAATGTTAGAAATTATTGGATATCAATAATCAATTAAAGGTGATCCCAGATATTATAGCAGTAACTAGAGATTTAATATGGAGGGATATAGAATTGAAAGAATTAAGAGAAATAGGTGATCCGATAGAAACTTATTGGTTTAAAATGGATATTAAAAAAATTGCTAGGAGGATTCAAAATCCCTTTTTAAAACATTTGATAGAATTATGGAATAAATGGAGATACCGGTTAATGCCAGGAATTTCTCCTTTAACACCAGTGGTGGAAATGGAGAAATTCCCTAAGATTGAATTGAAAGAATGGATTAGTATATTAAAAGAAAATCAGATATATAAAAGGGAAGACTGAAAGAACAAGATAAAGAATATAACACAATTAAAGAATGCTTTATCAGATATTAAATTGGTTGAATTTGATACAATTAGAAAAATGGATAAAAGTGGAAGAAGGATTTGAGGATATAGACAGTTAACAAAATTTGAAATGATTATAAAAGAATGTGATGTGAATAAAGAATATAGAGGTAAAGGAAGAATTGGGAAAATATATAGAATATTAACTGAATTAGAAGAGCAGGCAAAAGGTTTAAAATTAATTTGGGAATCAGATTTAGGAGAAATAAATGATAATGATTGGAAAAATATTTGGAATAGAAGAGTGTTGTGGCTCGGAGGTTTGAGCCTGCTTTGTCAGAGGTCGAGGACTTGGTAAATGAGGAAGAGGAGGATTTGGCTCTGAGGTTTGAGCCTGCTTTGCTAGAGGACACAGACTTGGACAGTGAGGAAGGGGAGGATTTGGCTCTGAGGTTTGAGCCTGCTTTGTTAGAGGATTTGGAATTGCCTTCGTCCCCAGGGCTTTCCTCCTCGGCAGGATCTTCCCCCCTGATTGTGCCTCAGGTGTCGGCAGATAATCAGGAGAACGTATCAGAGCCTCTGACTGAGGATCAAGCCGAGGAATGCTGGCTTGATGCGAGGCAACGGCGCAGGCAAAAGTGTAAGTTGCAACGTAAAAGGAAAGGACGAATTAGAGACTGAGATGAGGGACTGACACGCCCCACAGAGAATAAAAGTGGGTGTGTTCGCTCTGAGAATTTGTTCGGGACAACGTGTTAATTTGTGAGAGCAGCTCCTACGGATTCTGTGTGTATGGCGATAGCCTGTGATTTATGTTCTTGCTTTATTATTGGACTTGGCAGACAGCTTGTGTGAGACTGCCAAGGACTTGCCTGGCCAAAGGAATTTAACCCTGTCATTACTGGTCTTGTCTGCTTGTGTATATTCCTTTGGAAACTTGGACTTCTCACTTCGTTGGCACAGGTGAGACAAAACAGAAGAGTATATAAGAATATGTCAGAGTTAAGGAAAATGGATATAAAGTGATATGGAGCTGGTACCTAACACCACGTAAATTAAATCAAATAGATGGTAAATATACAAATATTTGTTGGAGGTGCAAGAAAGAGGTTGGAACATATAAACATATGTAATGGGAATGTGATAGTGCACAAAAAATATGGGACATGGTGTTTAGAGAAGTTAATGCACTTTTGAATCTAAATTTAGATATGTCACCGAGAATTGCACTGGTGGAAAAACGGGATATAAATGAAACAGAAAAGGAATTGATTGTAAATTTGATAATGGCTGCTAGATTAGTGATGGCTAAATATTGGGAATGAAATTGGGATATTCAAAGAAATGAGTGGTATAATGAAATTGCAACAAATGATAAATTAACAATAGAAATTAAATTTAAAAAAGGATGATTAAAGCAAACAATTTTAATGAAATATAGGGGGATTTTATAAAAAGTGTTGGTGGAAGGCAAAGGGAATAAACCTACTCAAGAATATATGTCGTTTTGGAAGGGATAAAGGCACAATTGGAATATATAGTGAATCTGTTAATTGTTATAGAAGAAGAATTATAAGAAAAAAATGGTCTCCAGGGGTGGGGTGCACTGTAATATTTGTATTTTTTCTTTTTTTTCTTTTTCTTTTTTTGTATTTAGATGTATATGTATTATGTCTGTATTATTTGTATTTAAAATAAAAATATTAATTAAAAAAATAAAAATGATATTCTGGATTTCACAAATTTTAGATTTCTAAAGTACTTCAATTGTTTCCAAATTAAATAATAACCCCATTCTGATGAATAACAGTTTATATGAAAAGTTCTAGTTTATTGTGTTAAACAAAGATTGTTAGTGGGTGAGGATGACATGTACTGAAGATACATGTTTTATATTGGTATTGTGTGTAAAAAATGTATCTTCAATATGAGCAGTGGTGTGCTGGAACTGGCTCATAATAGCTTATGAGAGCCAATTGTTAAATTCATATCTGACATTTTGTGAATTGTTTGAGAGTATAGTTATACGGTTAGTTGAACTACAATGGCTGACATGCTAACTAGCTGTTTGATGGTAGTGGTATGGTGTGTCTGTCCACAATGCTCCTGAAAAGCTGGTTGTTAAATATTTGCCAGCATACTACTGAGCATATGACATCTTGTCCCACTAACCTTATCTACAAAAATTACATAGCTGCACTGTCTTTTTTGAACTAAAAATTGCACTTAAGTTGTTCTGATAAAACTGAAGACAGTGAAAAACAAGTTCATTATAGTTTATAATTTTATTTAACTTTATTATTTTTAATATTAAAAATCTACTTTTTAATTTTCCATCAGGAGTATCTTGAAGTTAAACGTATGATTTTCCCAAGATTTTATTTTCTCAGCAATGCAGAACTCCTTGAAATAGTAGCTGAAAGTAAAAATCCTGATGTTGTACAGGTAATGTTCATTATCAGATATATAAAATGACTTTTGTCAGTTTAGCCATTTTAATGCAATCATGTCTTTTTAAATATCTTATTCAAATTACTAATTTTATTGTCTTTCTAACATTTTAACTTGTGAACAAATAATTTTTATCATTACTTTCTAATTCATCCATAAAATAAATAATATTTGCCTCATATCTGTGATACAGCCTCATCTTATGAAATGTTTTTCAAATGTGAGGAAGTTATATATACGACCGCAACATCAGACACCTCCAGTGGTTTTAATGATCAGATCTGCTGAAGGAGAGATTCTTCTAATACCAAAGTACAGTATGCTATTTCTTTAAATTTATCAAATATAAGCCAAATTCAGTAAGGAAAAGTTTTCACAGACATGCAAGCATTTTTTTTCAATTTTACAGTATATTTTTGATTCCAAGAAAAAGAATTAATAAAATGCCAGTTACAATAACATGTAAAGAAGAGTATAGTATACAATATTAAATTTATTATTAATGAATGATATGGATAGGAACTATTTAAGTTCAATTAAATGACAAACTTCTATGTATGTATTGTAAGCCATCTAAAGACTCATGCATATGAAGGCCAATAGCAAAAGAACCAGCAACTTTGATTTCACATTGTTGTGAACAGTTAATAACAGTTAATTTAATTTATATACCACCCAACTCTTAGCAATGCTGGGCAATTTACAATTGTTAAAACATTTAAAAACAAAGCATATAAAAAAGCACAAAATGAAAGAATAATGATGGGGGGGATAAACAAACCAGGGGAAACAGAAAGGGGCATCCACTCCAAAGACCTGAGCGAATAACCTGATTTTTAAGGCATTTTCAGATCTTTAAGGCCCTTTGAAATACCAATAGGTGGGACCTCTTTAAATTTTGCAGGGGAATCTCATTCCAAAGGGACAATAACCTTTTAAAAATGAAGTAGGTAGAAAAGGGTACTATGTAAAGCAGGGGTGTCAAACTCGATTTCATTGAAGGTTGCATCAGGATTGTTTTTGATCTCGGGGGCCAGGCGTGGGCGTGGCCAGCTTGACATCACTCATGTCGGCGGCGCCTGTGGTGGCCTGAGCACTCTACCAGCGAAAACAGACTCCCAATCTCCGTTTTCAGCTGCGACAACCTCCTGCAGCCCCCTGCCAGTGAAAACAGCTCGAGTGGGCTGTGTCTCCCTCCAGGCCCCATTTTTTTGCCACAACAGAGCTCTGTTTTTACTGGCAGAGGGCTGCAGGAGGCCATCACAGCAGAAAATGTCCATTTTCATTGACAGAGACAGTCAGACATGCCTCCATTCAAAACCCAAGAAAGAAATCCCCCAATTCCATGTTTGTAGAGAAAAGGTACTTTTACTGAGTTAGATGAGCCAACATGTCCTTCATTAAGGGGAGCAGGTAAACACTTTCTGCACACACTGCGCTCAGATTTTTGTAGTCAATGCAGAGATGATAAGAACCATATTTTTTTTCACAGAATAACACCGGGGCAGCCACTCGTGGCCTAGCGGGTTAGATGAAACCCTGTTTTAGGTTTTTATCAATAAAAGTTCGCAATTCTTCTAGCTCTCATGGGGTCATTGAGTAGAGCTTTGGCTTAGGGAGTTTCACCCCAGGGAGGATCTGTCTGCTGCAGTCTGTGGAGCGATGGGGTGGGAGCACATCTGAAGCCCTTTCGCTGAATGCCTCCCTGAGGTCCCAATATTCCTTTGGGATTTTCTCCTCCCTAGCTATGTGTTCACTTGCCACTGATGCCAGCTCCCTTATGGTCTTAGCTATTACTGAGGGACTTCCCCACCCCCCTGCGTCTGGATGGGACCAATGCGCAACAATCCCTTCCTCCAGTTTACATGACGATTCCATTTCCAGAGCCAGGGCAATCTAAGTAGGAGGGGACGCTCCACCCCAGGGGCCACAATAAAACACAAAGTCTCTCAGTGGTCCCCTATCCACATTTCCACTAGCTCCATCACAAAGTGAGCCGGGCCTCCCCCAGCTACAGATCCATCCAACTGGCAAAATGCTATGGGCACTTTCAATGTCCTTAGTCTCAGCCCTAGTTTCTCTACCACTGCTAATTATGCACCTTGTACACTCAGAGTCCAAAAGGGCTAACATCTTCCCTTGGGTGCCAGATGAAGGCACCCTTAACTCCACTGGGATGGTCATGGGGCCCACTTGTCAACTTACCAGCGGGCCAGAGTCGGTTTTGCTCTCCCCTGGAGTGGTCGAGTTCCCAACTCCTGTTCCAGAGGAGCGAACTCAAGGACTTCCATGCCCTTCTGGGCTGTTTCAGGATGTTTCGCTGGCGGCTTTTTGACCTTCTTCCCTCCAGCGGGTGTTGGTTTTAATCTGGTTTTGCAAGACAATCAGCAGCTCGATGCCCCTCCTTCCCACATCTGAAACAAGCCGTGGACCTGGATTTTGCAGCTGGTCTGTTTCTAGTAGCTCTAGGGGCCTCTCTCAGGGTAGAAGGTGGAGGCTTCTTCCAGTTTTGGCCCTCATGGTGCCAGTTTCTGGCCAGATCAATCTCCACATCAGCTGCCAACACATACCAGTGCTGAAGGTCTCGAGGAACCCCTTGGGAGATACAGCTTTACATCTCCTCATTGAGCCCATCTGTCAGGCTCTACATCTTACCAGCGTCCTGAAGCCCGACATTACAGCTGTGCCTTGGAGCTGGGAATCCCTGATAGCTGTGAATCCCTGATCTGCACTTCAAGTCCAGCATTGCAACTTGGCAGGCAGCCAATCCAGACCAGCAGAGAAGGGAGGGAGGGCTGTGGGTGACATTTCACAGCCTCAGAAGTCAACTTTGGAATGTAGGAGGGCTGTGTAGCCTTGGAACTCAGATAATACAGATGGATGTCTTTTTGCAATGTTTGGCTTTAACACTGTTTGGCTTTAACACAGTGCTGGGCTTGAAGCGAAGTGATCATTGTTATTTAGGATAATAATGGGAGATAGGTTGAAGGGAGGAACGTAATATTAGCTTAGGCGTGGTGTAATTAGGCACAGGGTGGTGGCGTGGATAATTAGGTAATGGGCAGATTAGGGTGGGACGTAGGTAATTGGACAGGGATGGATAAAACAATGTTGGGAGTTAACTGTTTTCAATGCTGACTTTACACGGACATCCGTTGTTACAGCTCTTAGCCACGATTGGGAACACAGCAATAAACTCTTCAATTTCAACTCTACAAGTGAGAGTAACATGGTTTATTGATTGAAGTCTCCAATTCTTGGCAGAGATCGACACCATCTTTGTAGGATTCCATCAGAGCCTCTTGGGACCACCCACACATATGGCATGCCAACTCACAAAACTCCTGGGTATATACAGCCACCGACCTTCACCCCTGGTTTATGGTTTTCATCCTGATCCTTGCCTTATGTTCAGCAAGGGGCTCTTCAAAATGGGCTCGGAGGGCTTGATTCCAAACTTGGGCTAGGAAAAATCCCACAACTTTAGGATCTCCATATTTTACTTCCATCAGAGGAACCTTTGGAATTTGGCACCTCTGGGGGACTGCCCCCCCATGGGGGGGCTGGGCTATGAAGCCTCTTGAATTCCTGCAGCTGGTGCTGTTGCTGGCCCTGGCTGAGCTAAAGGAACCACTTCTGGGTTAGCAAAGGCTTCTGTTCCCCCTGGCGCTTCCCCAGCCTCTTCACGTGCAGGCAAAGCATACCTTTCCCGTGCTCTCCAATTCTCAAGAGCTTTGTGTAGGAGATGCAGGGCCTGAGTCAACAGGAGGTCTTCTTTGTCATCCTCCTGCCAAGCAGCCTCTCCACGCCAGCATCTGGCAGCAGTTACTCCAGAGGGAAGCTCTTCAGGAATCTCCATTTGTCCTACACCTAATGACCATTTGGCTGGGACTGGCTTCTCAATTTGCAATTCTGGCAGCCATTCAGTTTCCTCCCTCCCTTGGTGGGACTGGAGGGGGTTGACCCAGCGGCTTCCAGGTCTTCCTGATTGCTGCCTTGGTTAGACATTGTTTGCTCAGCCCCCATGGTAGAATTTATCACTGGGTTGGCTGATAAAGCAGATCTTTCTTAATGTCAGACGTGTCTCCATTCAAAACCTAAGAAAGAAATCCTCCAACTCCATGTTTGTAGAGAAAAGGTACTTTTACTGAGTTAGAAGTGATAGCAACGAAAGAAAAGCAAGTTCTGAGGCAATAGGCGCAAAAATTACATATTGAAAGTTATTCCAAGTTCCCTCCCCCAAGGACCCAGACTGGATGTCCAATCTTCAGTGGTATGGTGTCATGTGGGGTACATCTTCAGGTGTTTTTCCCCCTGGTATGCTGAGACAGTTGACCTTGGCTGGGCATAAACAAGTCCATGCAGTTGCGCAATGAGCATGAGAGCATCCCCCCCACACTTGGTTCACACAGAAGTCATCTCCACTCTCCAGAAAACTCCCCCCCATGCCAAACTTCCCCCCTCCCTGTTTCTATGACAACCAACAGCAAGCAAGCATCATGGAGGCTGACAGAGGCACTGCGGGCCAATCTGCTGTTTCCAGGGCAGCCCCGTGGGGTTGATCTGGGCTGGATCTGGCCTCCGGGCCTTACGTTTGACAACACTGATGTAAAGGAAGGTGGGGGGGGGGGGAATTGCATGCATAAGAATCTCACACGTTTCCATCATAAGCAATTAATCAACTTTCAAGCATGTTAAGCTTTAATTCTCATGCACAATACCACACTCATAAGTCCTTCCCTCCCTCCTTCCTTCCTTCTTTCCTTCCTTCCTTCTTTCCTTCCTTCCTTCCTTCCCTTAACACATTTGCATTTATCTACCTGCTCAGAATACAGAGAAAACATGATGAAAGAAGAAATGATAAAAGAGGGAAAGAGAGCTTGCTTTTACATGCTGTTGTGCTAACCTTTGAAGGTGAATCTCCAACCATGCAGATATTATTCCTCACAAAGCTGGGGAAAACAATCTGATGAAATGTATATAATCATCCATCTCAAGTACATGATAAAACATTAAAAATACTAAATATTAAAATAAACAACAAATAAAGACATTGTTAGGCATCCAGAAATTATCCATGGTAATCAGTCACTCCGAGACAATATAATCTCCAACTGATTTATTAGGAACAGCTCTGGTACTTCTAAGCCATTTCCAAAAATGAAAGTCATTTTCCCGTGTGTTACCAAAATCCACCTTCTCTCCTCCCACTTCTACACTCCATTAATCACGAGAACCAATTAACTGCAGCTGGAATTTTTTAATGCAACTTATGGAATAACCTTGAACTTTCCAACTCCTCCACCCCACTTTTCATACTTGGCAGCTGAATCTCAGAGCTGACAGACATAGCAACCAGATAATCATATAATGCCCTCAACATAGCTAAAAAAATGACTCTACTTCACAGTCCCCCAGGCTTGGACACAAATCTGAAAACTAATTTGTTCTTGAAAAAATGGTTTAGTTTCAAGAGAAAATAAAGTTGCATTCTCAAAATATATTTTTGTTTTCAAATGATTGATACTGGCCATTGGAGGTGTATTTTTACTAATTTATAAAAATATTAAACATTAAAATGTGTCTTTATTCCTAAAAGCTGAATTTTAAATTCTCTTTCATAGGGGTGTTCGTATTAGAGGTTCTGTTGAACAATGGCTTAAAAATGTTGAGAATACCATGTACAATATGGTAAGAAAGTAAGTATATGTTAATCATATGAAAAGCTACCAATATAGTTGATCTACCTTTTCTATTAAAAAAAAAAGTCATCAGGTTTTTTTAAATTGGTACGCAGTTTGTTCAAAACAAACTCATCTTTAAATATTTATTGACAATTGGGAACAATCATGATGAAGAACCAAATCAAAGGGTTGAATAATTTTCCAGGTCCCCACCCTGGGACCAGAATATGTTAATGAGATCAGAGTCACTTTGTTCTATTGGTGGCAATTCTTTGTCATCAGTATACGGTAGCCTGTAGGATGCTACATATTAATGTTATATGGGAATTATATATTATGAGCTATATATCCCTGTCTCTTGAAAAATATAATTCTATTATCAATAATCTTCCTGTAAGTAACCTGGAGCAGGGGTGGGATTCAATTTTTTTTAACAACTGGTTCTGTGGTCGTAGCTTAATTTGTGGGTGTGGCTTGGTGGTCATGTGGGTGGGCGTGGCTTGCTGGGTGGGCATGGCTTGGTGGTCATGTGACTGGCTTGGTATGGCATTGTGGTCATGTGACTGGGTGGGCATGGCCATGTGACTGGCAAACCAAATACAAGTGGTCCTCGCTTAATGGTCGGTTGCTTAGCAAGTGTTCTAATTAATGGCTGCCCTCCCCAGAGTTACTTGACCTGTTTTTGGAGTTTTGACAGCCATGCATACACACACACACACACACACACACACACACACATCCTCCCTCCCTTCTAACCCTGCTGGAGCAGGCGGTTGGACTCGCAGGCTAGCCATAGATTGCTGTTTCAAAGAGTTTTCTGAAGTCAGGGTTTGTCTCCTTTTTTTTGTTTCTCCCTCCCTCCCTCCTTCCATATATCTATCTATCCATCCATCTAATTCACTTTCTCCTCCCTCTCTTTCTTTCTCTTTCTGTCCCTTCCTTCCATCCCCCTTTCTTTCCTTTCTTTCCTTTCTTCCCTTCTCTTCCTTTCTCCCTTTTTCTTTCTCTCCCTTTTTTCTTTCTTGTCTCTTCCTTCTCTCTCTTTCTCTTTCCCTCTCTCTTTCTTTCTCTCTCTTTCTCTTCCTCTCTCTCTCTCTCCCTCCCTCAATATATCCCATTCATTTTCTCCTCTCACCCTCCCTCTCTTTCTTTCCTTCTTCCTATTTGTTTTTCTTTCTTTCTTTCTTTCTTTCTTTCTTTCTTTCTTTCTTTCTTTCTTTCTTTCTTTCTTTCTTTCTTTCTTTCTTTCTTTCTTTCTTTCTTTCTTTCTTTCCCCTCCTCTTTCTTTTTTCCTTTCTTTTCTCCTCTTTCTTTCTTTCATGCTCTTTTCATGCTTTCTCTTTCTTGCCCTTCCTTCCCTCCTTCTCTCTCTCTCTCTCTCTCTCACACACACACACACACACCAAACTCTCGTGACACACACACACTTGGTCTGGGTGAACTGATCAGGCAAGTTCCAGAGCAGCAGGCGGTGGGAGAACAAAGAAAGTAGCAGCTCTGAAACATCCACCCACCCTCCCTTTCGGAGCACCACGGCAGGGGTGGGCAGCGTGGTGCAGCTGCGGGAAGCAGCCCCAGGATTTCCCGTCCTCCCTTTTGGTGCACCTCTGCCGCCCCTCTCAGTCTCAGCCCCAGCGCAGCAGAAAAAGCAAACGGTCGTGGCATGCTACGGCCTCTGCCATCGCCGCATCACCCTGAGGGCTGCCTGCTCGCCCATCCGCTGTCCGGACTAGTCTGGAAATGGCATCCCACCTTGGCCTCCTCCCACCTGGCTGCTGGCTGCTGGCTTCTGGATGCAAGCAGAGGCTGCTGGTTGGAGTGAGGGGAACCACAATGCTGGGCTCCAGTAGCAGTGAGTGCCAAGGGCATAGCTAGAATTGGAATAATAGGCTGTGCAGCTCTGGCGGAAAGAACTGGGGCAATACCCAACAGCTTGGATGAACATGTATGAACAAGGCGGCAGCTGCTCTCGCGTCAAGAAGCTCTGGTTCTTTCTGCCAGAGATGTGCAACCTCTTCCAATTCTAGCTATGCCCTTGGCACTCACTGCCATGGGAGACCAGCACTGCGGTTCCCCTCACTCTAACCAAAAGCCTCTGCTCATGTCAAGAAGGAGGCAGCCAGGTGGGAGTAGGTCCAGGTTGAGCACAAGATGGGGGATTTCCGGCGAGGGACATGGAGGCCCGGAGATGGCTGGGTGAGGCCCAGCGAGGCCTGGAGACAGATGGGCGAGGCCCAGGGAGGCCCAAGGAGGGTTGGGCGAGGCCCAGGGAAGCCCGGAGATGGCTGGGCGAGGCCCAGGGAGGCCTGGGGACAGTGGGAGAGGGGCTAGCATGACTCGCAGGCTTACCTGTGATCATCAGGGCAATTGCTGGCCTGGCAGGCAGGCAAAAGCAGGCTGCAGGCATGTTGTGCATGCGCACAATGTTGTACATGTGCAATAGGGACTGACTGGGCAGGGAGCGGAGAAGCAGTGGAGAGGGGTGGGGCCAGCCACAGGCCTGATTTACCAGTTCTGTGAACTATGGAGTATCATAACCTGTTTACCGAACTGGTCTGAACCAATAGAATCCCACCTGTGACCCGGAGATGGTTTAGTAACTTGTAAAAGGAATATTTCAAAGATTTCATGTTTTTCTGACTATATAATATACTTTAAGGTTTATAGAAGTTGGAATTACAGAGTGGAATCAAATGGAATTTAAAGAATGGTTTTTTACCCATCCAGGACAGGTGATCTTGATTGTGGTAAGCAAAATATAGTACTATTTAACTATATTAACTATACATTTACTTGGTTGGAATATGTGTGGCTCTATAAATATTTCAAATAAATAAATAAAATTAAAACTGGACAACTTTAGCCAAAGTCTAGAGGTTTGCCAGGGTCTAGCCCTCAGCATCTGAATCCAACCTCATCTACTCTTGCTGATTGTCTGCCTGGTCACCCTTAAATGATTGATTGTCTGTGGTTTGTCAGCTGACAACTTGATGGACTAAGGTCCTCATGTTGGAGTCTGTCATGCCTCTGTTGGAATCTGATTCCGAGGGGGAGGTCGAGCAGCTGACAGAGAGTGGGAGTGTGGCTTCGGTGGCTGTGGAAGAAACTGGGGAAGTGCACAGTCTGGCTGGGCATTCAGAGGAAGACCCAGTGCCACCCCCTCTTCATCCTAGGGCACACAGGGAGGAACGGAGAATGAAGCAACATGAGTTACATGGGTTACAGGGGAGAAAAGGGCCCTGATTCCCTTCATTAGGTGCAGCTGGGAAAACAGGATTTAAGAAGGGCATTTGGGCACAGCACCTTGCTGGAAGCAAAGCGTGAATTATCTTCATTTGTCAAGTCTTATCTGGGTTCTGGCATCTTCCCAACTGTGTGTGTTTCATTAACTTTTGAAGTCTGCAATTTCTTATCCTGCCCTGTCTGGTTAATTGCTGCAGCATGGTTTGTGTTGGTTTTTATTTATAATTTATATATACTTTGGGTTCAGACTGAATTTCTTCTCTTTAAAAACTGTTCTTGGGAGAGTTTTTTCTCCAGCTGATGGTAACTGGACATTGGGGGCGAAGTTGGGAGTATTTAAGGGACTTTACCTACTTTTGTGACTTTGTTGCTTTTGTGCCACACCCTGGGTCATCACATTGTCAGAGAAAACCATAACAATGTTCAAGAAAAATTGGAAGAAAAGTGAGTTATAACATCTGTAAGAATGTTTTAAAAATAAGTATAGATGATGTAACTGGAGAAATAATAATATATGCATATGGATTGTATGGCTGTATGACATGTAAGTGAAAACTGCCTCTGTGCCTAAGGAAAGAATGCTGGTATTACTCTCCAATACAGAGGGAAAATGCAAGAATGAATGCAAAAATTACTAAATATTAATTTAATTTGTGCTTGAAAAGATGACAATGAACAATATTTCAGAAATGCAATGTGGTTTTATCCTAGTAAATGTGTGCAAAGCAGATTTTTGTTCTTTAGCAGACTATTGAGAAACGTATGGATATAAAAAAGATTATTCTTATTTGTTGATTTAAAGAACGTACATATTACAACATAGATGTGAGTATAGCAGTTAACAAACAATATATATTTGTTTGGGGGACACCTAGCTCTTCTGCCTTATTAGGATTCAACTTGTTTCTTTCATATCCTATGTTCCACCACATTTGGAATTTGGTTGGGGGGGTTACTTCTATTCTTAGGACTTAAATTTGATTGATTTCCCTTTCCTCAAGTTCCTTATTCCTCAAGGGAATAAGGGAAATACATTTTAATGTGACTTGCCTTGCCTTAGTTTAATGGGGATACTCTGAAAGATGTTTAAATACTCTCCTGTTTCAAAAATTACATTATTTACAAGTAAATACAAGTAAATAATTTAAAAATGTATTATCATTACTAATATAGTATTTCACTTTTAGAGTCACATAAAGTTTTCTCAGGAATGTGAAGCAGCTATGTTGAGTTCTAATTCAAAAAAGGAAATGATAGAAGACTTGGATGATCTGATCAGCGTTCTAGAGCAACTTACAGAGATAGCATCAGATATTCTTCCCTACCACAAGCAAAGCACCTTAGAAGCTTTGATTTCTTTGTCCATCCATAATAGAGATATATTATCTTTACTGATAGATCAAGAGATTGGCATTAAAGATTTTGAATGGACAAGGTATGGTTACCTTAAATGCTAAGATATATTCAAGAATAAGTATTTTAAATAAACAAAAATATAAATGTAATATGCAAAGCAGATATTTAATTTCAGATGCAATATTATTCCATTCTCTTTTATGTGTGTTCATAAATTGACTTTATGTATTTTACCCAAGGGTTCTGAGTAGATATACAGAATTCACTGCCTTGTGCCTGCTCTTGAAGACCACTTGGGAATTAGAACTGTGTGATACTTCTATTTCTGTTCCCTAAATTTTCATGCTGGAATCTTACCCTTTAAAAGTGTACACATTTTGTTAGCAACTTTGTAGAAGCAGTGTTGGTTTCTTTTTAGTGAGGCAGGATCTATGTTTCTCAATATTATCTCTTTCAAATGTTGTCTCCATAACTGAGGTTAAGCTACCTAGCCTTTTCTTGTTCTTTGACCTTTTAAAAAAATCTAGTCACATTGGCTACTTTCCAGCCCTTAAGAACAGATGCACTTGGTATGAGCAAGTGGAAATGAAGACTTTTCCCCCTTTCTTTCTGAAAGTACTCAGAACCACTTATTTCTTACTATTTTTAGCATAATTGTAACATCATAAACCAATTCCTTGTATCTTCCACTGGCAGGAAAAAGCAAAGAGCAATTCAATAGCATACCATTGCACTCCTTTTTCCAACAGACCAGCAGTTGTTGTTGTTTTTAAATCTGGCTTATGTTGATATTTGAATGTAAATGTTTCACATAAACAAGATATTTGAAGCAGTGTATTATGCATAAAACCTTACTTTTACCTCGAGGTGAATTCATGCCAATGTGGGATGTTTATACTTGAACAGAATGTTCATATTCCCATCACTAAAATAAAAGCTTGATTTTAGATACTTCGTTGTAATCTTTTCTTAGCGTTTGTCCTTGCTTGTTTTCCCCTGTGCTCACCTATTCATATGAAAAGTGCATGATGTAACAGGTTTTCTTCTTCAGACACCATTTACAAAGTCTGATACCATTTAAGAGTGAGAGGGAATGAGTGACCATCTAGCTGGTTTCCATGCCTACGGAAGGCTTAGAACCTGGGAGTCAGAATAACACAATAGGAAGGGACCTTGGAGGTCTTCTAGTCCAACCCCCTGCTCAGGCAGGAAGCCAGCTCTGTACCACTTCAGGCAAATGGTTGTCCAGTTTCCACTGATTAACTGTTCTAACTGTCAGAAAAATTCTCCCTAGTTCTAGATTGCTTCTCTTCTTGATTAGTTTCCATCCATTGCTTCTTGTCATGACTTCAGGGGCTTGGGAGAATAATGGGAAGTCCCCATTCCTGATCTTGTATTTTAACCACTATAACACCCCAGTTCCCAGATATCTCATTTTCCTACCCTTTTAACATAATTTTGTATTTAATGGATTTTTGGATTGTTTTGTATACTGAAAAATTCAATTCTTACAACACTGAATTTTTATACCTGTATAATCTGATACCTATAATATTTGATAATCTATATGAGTCATTAACTGCTATGTAAACATGTTTTATTTAGGCAATTGCGTTACAAATGGCATGAATGCAACCTGTGCACAGTTGTTCAAGGTTATGCTTCCTTTGAATATGGTTATGAATATTTAGGCTGCTCTCCACGCTTGGTTATCACGCCTCTTACTGATCAGTGTTGGTTAACTATTACTGGAGCACTACAATTAAATCTAGGATGCTGTCTTGCTGGGCCAGCAGGTACAGGAAAAACAGAGACAGTTAAAGATCTGTCAAAAGTAAGTGCTATATTCTATATCATGATATGCTTTTTGTAAAATGTATACTGGTATGTTTTCTGCACAATTAATAGCAAATACATATTTTGGGACAACATAGTTCTGCCATTTGCTACTCAATTTCCCTTCAAACTCTTGCAAACCAATATCTTACAAGTCCTACATCAAGGGTGTCAAACTCATATCATTACAGCAGAGTCATGTGATATATTGGGACACTTTTCCCCTTCACTTTGGCCAGCGCGTGATGCATCCAGCCTGTGGACCAGGAGTTTGACAGCCCTGTTCTACATAATTAAACATCTTATTTCTATCTCTCCTTTTAGCATATACTCTATCTCTTGCTTTTATAAGCAGCCCTCAAGTGAATGTGATTGACTTGCTTAATGAAACGAATCTTTCTCAGCAATGGTAAAGAGAGGAAATGAATTTATTTTATATGAATTATTTATATGAATTTTATATGAATATTATTTATATGAATTTATATTTTATTTATATGAATTTTATGAATTTATAGAGAAAACATACATGCAGCACTCAGGGAAATTCCTTTCCCTAATTTCCCTAAGTACTAATTAGAAAGGCAGCTTACGATCTTTTAGTGAGTTAACAGCCCAGAGTTCCATGTGTTACTACTCTTGACTGAAATAAAATATTCACTGCTGACATTTCCACTCTTATATACTACTCATTCTTCTCTTTACACATCTAACTCTTGCAATCAGAGCTGTTCAAAAGCATGAGGACTCTGCTTAGAGTTATTACACTGATATATTTTATAATCTGTTTGCTGCTGAGCTAAATTGCTTTGCGCAATACTGATTTACAAGCTGCCAGTTAGGTATTTATTACATTTTTTAAGGCTGCCTAACTCCCCCAAAATCCTCTTTAATTATAGCAATAGAACTTAGACTTATATACCACACCATAGTACTTTGCAGCAATCTCTGAGGAGTTTACAATGCCATCATATTGCCCCCAACAATCTGGGTCCCCATTTTACCGACCTTGGAAGCAGTGGTGGGATTCAAATAATTTAACAAATGGTTCTCTGCCTTAATGACCGGCTGGGTAGGTGTGGCTGGGTGGTCATGTGATTGGGTTGGCATGGCCAATTTGATATCACTCACATTGAGGGGTGCTTTGTCTCACCTGGCCTCTCATGACCGTGGGGATGCTGCAATGGTTGTAAGTGTGAAAAATGGTCATAAGTCACTTTTTTTCAGTGCCATTGTAACTTTGAATGGTCACTAAACAAACTGTTGTAAGTCAAAGATTACCTGTACAAAAATACAAAAAGCTTCCTTGTTTTCAAAAAGCTGCCCTAAATACCAATCATTAGATTATAAATGAGGGAATACACACTGAAAATCAATGACAGTCACAGCCATCATGGAAACCTAAACCATTCTGTCTGAATACCTTCCTTTTCATCAGCAATACCTGCAACCCAGAGTTAAAAATCAGGCAGGGTGCCAGAGCACCTTGAAGATTTAAAATAGTTAAAATGCAATGATAACTATCAGGAGCCAACTCTTGCTCATAAAGCGAAACCCTTTAGCAGAGAGTTCATTTAAGGTCTCCAGAAAGTGGATGGGCACACTTGGGCTACAAAATGCCAAGTTAAAGAGACACAGGATCAAGATGGGGGCAAGATGGCGGCAGCAGTAGAGGCAGCGTGAGGAGCTCCAGCAGGCATGGGCAGCGCCAGGCGACAAGCCTTCTAATCCCTGTGGGTCCAGCCGGCAAGGTGGAAAGCCTAATGCCCGAGACTTGCCAGCAAGCCAGAAAAGAGCTCCATTCCTCAGCAAACGCTCAATTCAAAAGTACTTGGAGATCTCTGATTCCTCCCATCCTTGACCAGCACGCCAGAAAAGAACTCATTCCTTGGTGGGCACCAAGTTTGGGAGCGCTTTATTCAAAAGCGCTCAACAATCTGCAACTCAACCCATCCTTACTAGAAGGTAAGGCGGTGGAACTCACCAGTACTGGGGGGGCTCAACGATCATCCTTGCAGGGCAGTGAGACGGGGAGTTTCATCCCATCCTTGCAGGGTGGTAAGCACCGGGAGCTGTGAGTCGGTCTTCAGACGTTTGCAGCCAGGGTGTGAAACAGACTGCTTCCCCCCTGCCGCCCCTCCTTCTCTCTTCACCAAATTGCTAATCCGGACTTCCTCTTTAAAAGGACAGTGACTTTGGACTTTCAATAAGTAGGGAAGTATTGTTATAACTGAACTCCTGTGAAGATTGGAAGCAATTTTCTTTCCTGTGATATAAGCAGAAGTATATTGAAGCCAGGAGCGAATGCTCAATACAAATCTGAGTCTACATAGTAAAAATATTAACTGTTCAAATTGCCAGTGCAAGACTATCTTTCTCTTTCTCTTAAAAGCAAAAAACTTTGAAAGTGTATTTAAATTAACTAGGAGGGAGCCAGAAATCCCATTCATCAAGAGAAAACAAAACAAAAAGTTTCCTGTTGCCTCCCAGTGAATTGCTCTGTTTATCTCTGCTGAAGAAGGGGACAGAGATCCCCCGTTCAACATCTTTGCATCTTTATTATCTCAAAAACTCAATCTACAAAACAAGAAAGAGAGTGTAAACCCTTGCTCATTGATTGTTTTCAAACAGCCCAGGAAAAGAGACCTCCTGCCAGTCTATAAAGGGTTATAAACCTATTCTCAGATATCAGCAACAGCTACGCAAAACAAAGCAAAGCAATAACCCTTTACTTACCAACTCTCAATACTACTCTATACTACTTCATTACTTTCATTATCTCAAAAACAATTTCTTTAAAATAATTAATTTTTATCAAATGATCAATTGATTTATTGTTTTTATTGCTTGGTATGATTATTTAGTGCATATAGTATAATTACTGAATATCTGATTAGTAAAATCAGTGATTTAGTGAATTTAATTGACCAGTGTATTTAGTAATTACTGTAATAATTAGGCTGTTTGTTGCTTAGCAAAATTATTTGATTAGAGTGATTTGAGTAACCAATTGATTGATTGATTGATTTTTAGTAATAAGCAACCTTATTTTTGATTTGTTCTTTAACATATCAATTAACATTTATTAATTACCAACATTCATTAAGTAACTGTCTACCTATAACATTAACTGGCTATTGTAATTGATTACTGTACTATTGCCATTGACCATGCCAACCAAAAACTCCAAACCAAAGCAAAAGAAAAATATCTCTACCAGTGACCTCCCAGACTCCTGCACATGTTTCAAATGTCTTGAAACCATCAATGCAAGCGAAATTTACATCAAATGCTGCCTATGCGATAATCTAGCCCACCCTGCCTGCTTAAACGCAAACAAAAGCCGAGTTGATATGGTCAAAAATTCAGATAAATTATTTTATCTATGTCCATCATGTTCTCCTAAGCTAAACAAACTGAGTACCCAACCTGGCAGAATTGAAAGCATAGAATCACTCATTCACTCAATAGAAGAACGCTTAGCAACACGTTTTGAAACAACTATACAAGCAAGCCTAATTTCTCTTGAAAAAAAAATACAGCACAGATAAGTGAGTACCTATCAGCTCAAAATCAACTCCCACAACAACTACAACCACTACCTCAACTACAATCACAACTACAACCAAAAATAAGCACCAAACCACAACCACAAACAATTACTATCCCTTCAAATAATTCCACAAATAATATCTCCTTACTCATCAGAGACACCATGGAAAGTGAACAAAAATGTCCAAATGCCATCTTATTTGGTCTCGAAGACACCAACGAATCAGATGATATCACCAAAGTTTGTGATATCATAAGCAACTCAAATACGACAAACCATCTCTCCTGAAGATTTCATTGAAATAACCAGAGATGGCCATGGGTACAAATACAATGACGGCTATGTGGCCCCAAGATTTTGTAGAGTTGAATGCAAAAATGAGTCCAGCAAACGCATATTCATTCATACGATAAATGTCATTGCAAAAATCAATCCCAACCACCAAAAACTTCGCTCAAGACCAGACTTATCCATACTGCAAAGAATCCGCTCCCGTGAACTCTGCACAGAACTCAAAAACCGTCTAGACAATGGAGAAAAGGATCTATAGAGCTGATTGCATCAAAAGAAAGTCACACAACCCACAACTCCGCATCCAACCCCACCCCATCCAATCCAACATCACTCAAAAGTAGGCATGCACGCCCCTAACTACCTCTATTCCAACCACAACTGGCCTTAAATGCAAGCTACTCAATGCAAGAAGCCTTGTAAATAAAATACCTGAATTTCTCCTCTTACTAAATATGGCTAAATTCGACATTATATTTGTCTGTGAAACATGGCTCAACGCATCTCTCCCTGATTCCATTACCACACTAAGAGACTATCATGTTGATCGATCAGATCGTGAAATCAGTAGAGGAGGTGGTGTTGCTATCTTCTATAAAAAGTCCCTACATCTAAAAAACATCCAAGTTACCCAGGAGCTTGCTATTCCTGAGACCATAGTTTGTGAACTGTCCTTAAATATCACATTTCGGTTCTTACTATGTTATAGAGCCCCTGATTATGACATCGAACATGCAAATAAGCTAAATACACTACTAACATGGGCAGCATCCTGCCCACACGCTTTTATCTTTCTTGGTGACTTCAATCTACCTCATATTAACTGGACCCTTAATGAATGTACAACTGAACCCACACATGCAACCTTCTACAATGCAGTAACAAATCTGGGACTAGAACAACTAGTAACCAACAACACTAGACTTAACAACTGCCTCGATCTCATCTTCTGCAATAGTTTGAATTCAATTTACGGAATACAAAGAACCCTTTTCCAACAGTGACCACAACATGATTGACTTTTGTCTCAACATACGTCCACACAAAAATCATCACAATGACGGAATCCCTAATTATAACTTCAAAAAAGGCAACTATGATCTTATAAACAACGTTCTCTCATCCCTTGATTGGCAATTTCTATTCTCTGGATGCAATACTGTAGAAGACCATTGCAACATATTTTTACTTGAAGTCAAAAGAGACATCAAACTATATGTACCATTAACAACTCCCAAAACCAGAAAAAACAAATTACTCAAAACAATAAGAAAGCTTCAATCCAAAAAGAAATCACTTTGGCGGAAGAACAAATCTGGTCACGTTGCCAACTTCACAAGCCGATACAAAAATTTATGCCACCAGATTAAAATTGAATGCACCAATTATCACATTAAACAAGAAGAAAAACTTCTATGCACCAATTCCACATGCGCTTTCTACAGTTTTGTAAACAACAAACTAAAAGACTCAAGGTCCATCCCACCCCTGAAAGGACCTAATGGTAAAGACTGCAAGGACGACACTATTAAAGTCAACCTCTTTAACACATTATTTGGCTCAGTATTTGTAAACAGCAATGGATCATGCCCAGTATTTCCTAGTCGAACCACTGACAATTACAATGATCTAATACATACCGATTTTACAGAAGACAATGTTGAAAAAGCACTACGCAATCTAAAACCGTCTCTATCTATTGGACCGGATGGAATATGTGCCTACTTCTTAAAAAAGCTACCCGCTGCCATAGCTGAACCTCTAAGCATAATCTTTGAAAAATCTTGCCAAAACTATGGTCACAAGCCACGGTCATCCCCATCTTCAAAAAGGGAGATCCCAGCCTAGTTGAAAATTACAGACCGATCTCTTTATGCTGCGTCACCTGTAAAGTCATGGAATCAATTATTAACCAATCCATCATCCTCCACTTAGAAACAAACAACCTACTCTCTAATAAACAATTTGGTATTAGGAAAAAACTATCATGTAATCTGCAACTCTTACACTGCAAAAACATATGGACTACACAACTCAATCAGGGCAAAGCAATAGACGCAATCTACATAGACTTCTGAAAAGTATTTGATTCAGTGGTACATGACAAACTACTCCTAAAACTAAAATCTTACAGTATCTCTGGACACCTGCATAACTGGACAGATTCATTCCTGTCAAACAGACAACAAATGGTCAAAATTGGGAGTGTCCTATCAAATTCTGTACCTGTCAACAGTGGTGTCTCCCAAGGCAGTGTTCTAGGACCAACTCTTTTCATACTCTACATAAATGACCTCTGTGATATCAAGAGCAACTGTGTTCTCTTCGCTGATGATGTAAAGCTATTCAACACCACAGACAATACTGCTACCATTCAAAAAGACCTTGACTATGTATCAGAATGGTCAAACAAATGGCAACTTCAAATCTCAACAAATAAATGCTCTATCCTACATATTGGCAAAAAAATCAGAAAATAAAATACAGGCTGAATAGTCAAGACTTTGTTAATGATCCAAACTCTGTCAAGGATCTTGGAGTACTCATCTCAAATGACCTAAGTGCTAGAGCCCACTGTAACTACATAGCCAAAAAGGCATTAAGAGTTGTTAACCTAATCTTATGTAGCTTTTTCTCTGGTAATATTACACTACTAACTAGAGTATACAAAACATTTGCTAGACCAATACTCGAATGCAGCTCATCAGTCTGGAACCCACATTACGTATCTGATATTAACACAGTTGAGAAAGTCCAGAAATATTTCACAAGAAGAGTTCTCCACTCCTCTACTTGTTGCAGAATACCTTATGCCACCAGACTCGAAATTCTAGACCTAGAAAACTTACAACTATGCCGCCTTCGGTCCAATCTAAGTATAGTACATAAAATCATACATTGCAATGTCCTACCTGTCAATGAATACTTCAGCTTCAACCATAACAACACAAAAGCAAACAATAGATACAAACTCAAGGCTAATCGCACCAAACTTGATTGCAGGAAATATGACTTCAGCAACAGAGTGGTCAATGTCTGGAATACTCTACCTGACTCTGTGGTTTCTTCTCCAAACCCCAAAAACTTTAACCTTAGACTGTCTACTATTGACCTCACTCCTTTCCTAAGATGTCTGTAAGTGGCGTGCATAAGCTCACCAACGTGCCTACCATCCCTGTCCTATTGTTTCTTTTATTTTTTTTATTTTTCTTACATGTATCCATGTATTCATAACTATGTTTTTACTTATACCTATTATCTTGTAAGCAATTGACAAATAAAATAAATAAATAAAAATAAATAAATTAACAAAGTATATTGGGGACCCAGATTCAAGTCTCTGCCCTCCCAAGCTTGTCAGAATCACAATAAAATTAGTACATGTTTAAATAAGCCTTATTATCATGAGAGAAAACTAAAATGAATTGGAGGGAGGAGCCACAGCCTACCTCCTATTTTTTTAATCTTATGATCAGTTAACAATCATGTGCCTTGGCCACTCCTTAGCAACCCAAGAGACTCCTGTCCCAAAGGTGCTTTTTCAAGAGGCAACTGAACTTCCTGGAAACCAAGAAAGTCCAGTTGCCTCTTGAAAAAGCACCTTTGGGAAAAAAGCACATTTGGGACAACTATGACTTGGATGACTGGATAATTCCCATAGGCAAGAGATTCCTGTGCTCAGTGAATTGATAAAGTACCCTTTCCCACCTAGGAGAAGCAAACCTAAGATCCATTTGCCCCACTTAAAGATACCAGATGGTCTCATTTACCTCACAAGATATCAAGATATCCTAAGGAAAGCATTCAGATTTAAAGATCAAATGCTCCCAGAGAGGCAATAAAAAAATCAGTGCCAAGCTTTCATCCTGCCTCTTGGAAGTACATCCCAAAAGGACAGTGCCAGGAACCAGTAAAGCAATGTAAAAAGCTCAAACAACCCTTTCCCTTTAACAAAGTCAAGCCCCTAATAAAAGTACCAGCAAAGGAAAAAAAACATTTTAAATTTAACTATCTTAGACAAGTAGCTATACATAAGTTTAGCATTGTGAAAGAATTTTATTAATTTTTAATATAAATTTAAGAACCAAAGTACCAACATTTTATAATATATTACAAAATTAAGATGTGTCCAAAGGTGAAAAGACACTGTTTAGCTATTAGGCATTCTGAATTAGCAGAAATCCTTTTTCTTTGCTAAGGCATTCCATATACTGTATATATTCTATGTTTTTAAGAGCCTTCATTTTTTCAAAATTGCATTTCAATTTTTAAATTTGAAAACAGATCACCTTTAGGAAAGAGGCAAAATAATGGAATGTGAATGATAAATCTAAACCAAAAGCATATAATCTTATTTGATATTTAATGCTTATTTGATAACAATTCAGTTAAATAGAACTGCTTCTGTTCAATATTGTATTTTTTTATTTGTAGGCTTTGGGAAAATTCTGTCTTACATACAATTGTTCTGGAAATTTGGATGATAAGGTATGATAAACAATTTTAGTTTAAGATACAATGTAGAACATAGGTATGCAAACTTTTGAGTATATTTGGAATTTTGAGAGCATGTTGTAAATATTGTCCCATTTTGTGTGCCATGGTGAGCTTGGGCTATCATAAAGCATACTTTTATTCCGAAAGCAAACTAGTAAGACAGTTATCTTCCATTCCCTGATTTTCAATATGTTCCCTGCCATATTAGCTAATCTTTACCTTTTCATTTATGTGGAAGGAGGGAGTTGCAAACAAAGTACAGTTATATCCATTCCTTGCTTAAATTATTTAATTTACCATTTGAATATGACTACTCATGTGCCATGGACACTTTCCTGGCATGGTCTCTGGCTTATTCCCACTTAATAAACCTATACTTCTTTACTCTGGCAAGCTTCCCATAAAGGCAGTGAGAGATAGCTTAGTGGTGTTCAGAAGATGAAAACCCTGAGCATACAAGGCTGAAGCAGTCAAGGCCAGTTATAGGAGCAGTCAAGGCCAGTTATAGAGCAGACTGAGCTGGAAAGGAGGGATAAATGTGTCATAAGTTTGGAGTCATTGCATTGACACAAAAGACCCACATCCAGCTCTCCATGAATTCCTTTTACCTTTATCTAGCACCAATTTGGCTTTGACTATTAGTTGACTTGATTTTTGTATAGAGGTAGCAATAATAAACTCTTCTGTGCTTTGAACTCAATGAATGCTCCAGGTTATTTGCAACTGACACTAGTTTACATAAGACAAAAGCCATGGAGGGTGCAACACACCATTAGATGAGGACAATTATAGAGTAGTTAACCAAGGCAAGGCTACAAGCGATGTGGCAGAAGTCATGTCAATTTGAAGCAGAACCAAAGGCTGAATGATGCATGAAGTGGGCCAAAAGCTACTCAGACTCTGAATAAAGTCTTAGAGATAATGCAATGAGCAATATTGGACAAAAAGCAGGTTTTTAAAAAGGACTTACTGTGTTATGAAACTTTTCCATAAGTACATGTATAAGTATTACAAAGGCAGATGTAGGTGTTTTAGTTTTGAGCTTGGTGATAAATTCCATGAGACCTTATTTCTCACTTGTTATGCTTTAATCTTTCTTTGTCTATTTAAGGTAATGGCAAAAATGTTCTTTGGGCTTGTTCAATCTGGATCATGGTGTTGTTTTGATGAGTTCAATCGGATTGATATAGAAGTCCTCTCTGCAATTGCTTCACATCTTCAGGCAATTAAGGCAGCTAAAGATAGCCTCAGTGTCAGGTATTTATTTGAAATTGCTGTGAGATTTTATTAATAATAATACTTTATGTTCACAAGATGTGTGTAGTTTTGCTCTGGTGTTGTATCATTGATATAACAAAGTTGTGGAAGAGTGATTTCATCTTAATTCTTGCCTAGAGCTGGATGGATGTCTTCTAATGATCTAAAAAGGCAAGAGCACAAATGACAAATACCTTAATTTGCAGATTTCAAATTATAATACTTTATTACTATATATTACTTACCAGATCTTGGCCAATCAGGTGTTATAAAAAGATGTCAAGCATCAGAAAACTCTGGATTAGTATAAAATCAAATAAAGTGGATTTGGCAATGGATCTTGTGTTTATTATCAAAACTTTTATATTGTACTGTTTAAATTTTTGAAGCATGTACCAGTTAATTATAATTTTATTTTCATTTTTGTGTATTGTCTGAAAAGGTTGTATTCTGACCTTGTTAGCTGGCTATCATAATTGGAATAATTTCTTTGCTGATTAGAATGTCACATAGAACTGATCAGTGTCCTATGTTTCCTTCTTATTATTTAATTCAGGAACTGCTGGCCTATTTTATTAGGCAACTGAAAGAATCTGGGATATTAAGATGTCCAGTGTCAAACATAAATTCTTTTGTATGCTGACATTCTTTGTCTTATTAATAATTCCTAGTCTTCTAAAGTACTTTATATCAGTACTTTATATGGATGTTTGTAAAAAATGGGACCCAACATTTTGTTTTGAAAATCTTTAATAATTGTTTTCAAAGAGATTTCTTTGTTGATAAATGCTATTATTTCTAAATGTCCATCTCAAATTAATGCAGATAGACACAAATTGGTAAAAATCAACATGAATGTATGAAAAAAATTAGTAGTGTTAAAACTAATCTTGCTGCAAGATTGAAATAAAGGTGAAACTCGAAAAATTAGAATATCGTGCAAAAGTTCATTTATTTCAGTAATGAAACTTAAAAGGTGAACCTAATATATGAGATAGACTCATTACATGCAAAGCAAGATAGTTCAAGCCGTGATATGTCATAATTGAGATGATTATGGCTTACAGCTCATGAAAACCCCAAATCCACAATCTCAGAAAATTAGAATATTGTGAAAAGGTTCAATATTCTAGGCTCAAAGTGTCCCACTCTAATTAGCTAATTAAGCCATAACACCTGCAAAGGGTTCCTGAGCCTTTAAATGGTCTCTCAGTCAGTTCAGTAGGAATCACAATCATGGGAAAGACTGCTGACCTTACAGTTGTGCAGAGAACCATCATGGACACCCTCCATAAGGAAGGAAAGCCTCAAAAGGTAATTGCAAAAGAAGTTGGATGTTCCCAAAGTGCTGTATCAAAGCACATTAATAGAAAGTTATGTGGAATGGAAAAGTGTGGAAGAAAAAGGTGCACAAGCAGCAGGAATGACCACAACCTGAAGAGGATTGTCAGGAAAAGGCCATTCAAAAGTGTTGGGGACTTTCACAAGGAGTGGACTGAGGCTGGAGTCAGTGCATCAAGAGCCACCACACACAGAGAGATCCTGGACATGGGCTTCAAATGTCATATTCCTCTTGCCAAGCCGCTCCTGAACAACAAACAACGTCAGAAGCGTCTTACCTGGGCTAAAGAAAAACAGAACTGGTCTGTTGCTCAGTGGTCCAAAGTCCTCTTTTCTGATGAGAGCAACTTTTGCATCTCATTTGGAAACCAAGGACCCAGAGTCTGGAGGAAGAATGGAGAGAAACACACTGCAAGATGCTTGAAGTCCAGTGTGAAGTTTCCATAGTCTGTGTTGATTTGGGGAGCCATGTCATCTGCTGGTGTTGGTCCACTGTGCTTCATTAAGTCCAGGGTCAACGCAGCTGTCTACCAGAAGATTTTGGAGCACTTCATCCTTCCTTCCGCAGACGAGCTTTATGGGGATGCTGACTTCATTTTCCAGCAGGACTTGGCACCTGCCCACACTGCCAAAAGTACCAAAACGTGGTTCAATGACTGTGGGATTACTGTGCTTGATTGGCCAGCAAACTCGCCTGACCTGAACCCCATAGAGAATCTATGGGGCATTGCCAAGAGAAAGATGAGAGACATGAGACCGAACAATGCAGAAGAGCTGAAGGCTGCTATTAAAGCATCCTGGTCTTCCATAATACCTCAGCAGTGCCACAGGCTGATAGCTTCCATGCCAGGCCGCATTGAGGCAGTAATTGCTGCAAAAGGGGCCCAAACCAAGTACTGAGTACATATGCATGCTTATACTTTTCAGAGGTCCGATATTGTTCAATGTACAATCCTTGTTTTATTGATTGCATGTAATATTCTAATTTTCTGAGATTGTGGATTTGTGGTTTTCATGAGCTGTAAGCCATAATCATCACAATTATGACAAATCACGGCTTGAACTATCTTGCTTTGCATGTAATGAGTCTATCTCATATATTAGTTTCACCTTTTAAGTTGCATTACTGAAATAAATGAACTTTTGCACGATATTCTAATTTTTTGAGTTTCACTGTATATGCTTCAAGTTTCTATGTTGGTAAGTTATTTTAAGCAGATTGATATATTATGGAGAATATTCTTATGAAATTGGAACAATTATGAGCTTCACATGAAGTTGGGGATTTTAATTTTCTTGACTTATTCTTGTGCCATTGAACTTACTTTTTGACTTTGTGCTTCATGAAATTTAAATGATTAATCCAAAATCATTACAGACACAATTAGAATATTGTTACTATCCTCTTGAATATCTTGGCGGGAACTTTCTTCCTATTTTTAAAGATGCAAAAAATATACAGGGTGTACCAAAAGTCAGACCCTATAGACAATTTATTATATAAATTACATTAAATGTCTAATTGGTTGTCATTTTCATAACAATACTTCCTTAGCCTTTTGATGTACATTAAGATCAGTAATATTTTATTTGAATAAAAAACCGTAATAAACATATTATGGTTGGTCTAACTTTTGGTAAACCCAGTATATATATGAAGTTGGGAAGAAGCCTTAAATTTGATCCTACTTTCACTAGAAACTGACATTATGGGATAATTGTAGGTAAAACATTTTTGGAAAGCTCATGGGAAAAAGGTTCATAAGCAAAAAATGAGATCACAGCTTTGGATCAGCTCATTGTTCATCATCTGATGTTTTGCAAGAAGAATAATTTTTTCTAAATATATGGTTTCTAAATATATGGTTAGTTTTTAGCTGTAACTGAAAAGCTGGGTTAAAATAGATGTGGGAATCTATAAACAAGTTTGAAAAAAAGGTTGAGTAAGTGGTAGATTCTGTTATACTTAGATCTGCCAATTAACATACCTTTATTTTGTCAGAGCTTAGTTATTCTGCATAAGCGGTCTTTGTACATGTACTGCTTTTGCCAAATGGGCACCTCTGGACATTATTCTAATCCTATATATGGGCATATCTATCGACATTAATCAAGCTTTGTGGCATGGATGTCTGCACTGGGCCTTTGGCAAAATAGTATATTCTGTATTTTATAGGTCAACTAATTGTCTCCTTAAGGAAACCTGCTGTTTGTGCTGTAAGTATAATATAGAAAAGCATCACAAAGAATTATGGCAGATTGCTTAGCAATAAGTGTACTTTAAATAGTCATTTCTACAGGTACGTAATTAGTTCTAATTTGTTCTAGAGTAGTGTACTTATTCTGAACTCCTGTGTTGGAATCAGAACTGAGCTCCTTTGCACTATGCTCCATATGGACATATATAGACAGGTCCTTAGTCCTCCCCCAAACTTAGAATCTTCCTAATAGTAGTCTATGCCGATGCAAACCTCATATGTGTAAATATTATCAATGTGTTATGCTAATATTGCACTATTTTCAATTGTATCTTATGTTTTAGGCCAGAGGTGTCAAACTCAAGGCCTGGGGCCCAGATCTGACCTGTGGGGTGCTTAAATCTGGCCCGCCTGGAAACAGAGAAGGACCGGCCTGTGGTGTCTCTGCTAGTGAAAATGGAGCTCGGGAGGGCTTCAGGTGGCCCTCTTGAGCTCTGTTTTCATTGGCAGAGGGTGCAGGAGACTGTCACAGCCAATAACGGAACTCGAGAGCCCATTTTTTCTGGCAGAGTGCTCAGGCCGCCACATATGCCCCCAACATGAGTGATGTGATGTCGAGCCCACTCGACCATGCCCACTCAGGCTCCCCGAGGTCAAACACAACCCCGATGCGGCCCTCAATAAAATTGAGTTTGATACCCCTGTTTTAGGCTTAACTCAAGGTGCTTAATGTATGTGGCATAATATCCTTTGCAGCTTAGGGCCACAGTATTTACTTGCTGCTGTTTTTTGTATAAGGCAAAAATTTGATCAATTTTCTCTGCTTTGTAACTTGGTACACTACTTATTCCTTAACTGTAGTATAATACTGTAACTTGGAACTGCTTTTTACATTTAACACAGATTTGTTCTGGAAGGAAAAGAAATCCGTCTGAAACCACACTGTGCAATTTTTATTACCATGAATCCTGGGTAAGTGATAACTGTAGCTGTCATTGTTCCACAACACCAGGACAGAAAGAACCTTTTTTGGGGGTGGGGTGGGGGGGTGTATTATTATTTTTTTACAAATGCATGAAGCTATGTTGTATGAACTGATAGTTTTGATACAATTAGTTTAATATTGTCCATAGTTTTGCACCTTCAAGATTTCAGAAAATAATATTTTTAGCCTAATTTGTTGATTCAGGGATTGATCATGGAATCTTTTAAATGCAAGGAATATGTACTGCAACTGAATTATATATTTTCGAAATGTTGTAGTTTTAAATTACCACTATTATCAATTTCAGAATGTTAGATAATTTTTCACTTGCATTTAAACATCACTTATTGCCATAATCCGCTATCATAATAGTGATCATAAAATTGTTTTCTAATCTAAACTGTAGTGAACTCTACTTTTTCATACTAGTACTGTATCTTTATTGAAAGGAATTTTTATTTGTATGTGATAAAACTAACATATTGAAGTGTTTTTAATGAATGTGATGACATTTACTTTCCTTTTAAGATACAAAGGTCGTGTGGAACTTCCAGACAACTTAAAATCATTATTTCGTCCTATGTCAATGGTAATACCGGATTATGAACTCATTGCTGAAATAATGTTGTTTTCAGAAGGTTTCAAATCAGCAAAATTACTCTCAGGGAAGATAATAAATCTTTACCAACTTTCTAGCAAAAGACTATCACTACAGGTAAAATACAAAGAATATATTTTTCTTTTTTGTATCCTAATTTTCTTCTGGAATGGAGCTCAAAGTAGCTACATAGCATCTCCAGATGATGTCCCTTAGAGGCAATGATTTGGAAAAGTAATGCAGAAATCAGATGTAAATATAGTATAAATTTACAGAGAAATATTCATCTGTTAAACTGAATAGAATGGCCTACTGTTCATAATGACAGCAAACTAGTTGAGGAGGTACAAGATAGTCCAAGAACCACAGAAACGCACACCTCTTCGCTTGCCTGCCTTTATGAATTTTCTAGGCCAAATATAATTTTTCCACAGGAAATGCAACTTTCAGTGAATATGTTCCTGAATCCAGTATAGGATTTTCCTTTCTGTTTCATTTCAAGTGCTATAGTAATGTTAGCTACCCAAAGTCACTAGCAAAACCTTAGGTCGGGGGTCTTCAAACCTGATAGTGTCAACTCATAAAATAGTTCTGTGGTCTTTTTAGAGTTGCCAATAGAAAAGGAGGGGGAAGCAGTGGGCAGCTTGCATTCCATAAATGTTTTCAAAGATAGTTTCTAGGTGACCAAGGTTTCTGCGGCGCAAAATTCTATCTGGAGAGTATGATTGGAGAGTACTCTTGGTTATGGATATGTCCCATTGGAGAATATGAATTATGATACACCCAGGGGGTGGGGGAAAATCAGGGTCAAGGGTGAATTATGTATCTCAGAGTCAGCTACACCAAGGCAATGCTGCATCTTTTAACTCCCAATAAATTATTTTGGAGTTTAGCTAGAGACTCATGATTTAAATGGGGTTAAGTGTCGGAATCCTGACAGCTAGCTTTAAGACTTGTGGACTTCAACTCCCAGAATTCTTCCTCCAGTCATGTTATCTCAGGAATTCTGGGAGTTGAAGTCCACAAGTCTTAAACTTGCCAAGTGTGAAGACCCATGCCTTAGGGGATAGAGGGAGGTAGAGACTCTTTTCAGCACTTATTGGGCAAAACCCCTCAATTTCTTCAAAGGATTATCTTTTCTGGTCATTATCCTTATGTTGTGCATTCCTATTTTTAAAAGAAAACTTCAAAAATAATTGAGAATTGGTGCCTTTCTGTAAAGGACTCTGGGTCTAGGCAAGTGCCCTTGTTTGAGATGTAGGAGCAAAATTCCCAACTGACAGTTATATAGTACTATTATTTCCTACAGAGGGACAGAAATTTCTACTTTCAGCCATCTTATCTTCTTCCTGTACTCTCATTGACAAGTATCCCACTGGATAATTAGTATTCTAGAGTTCTTTTGGAAGCCTGTTAGGTTCAGTTAATTTTCATTCCATTTTCATTCACAAGATTTCTGTGATATTCTTTCAGATATTTGATATAATATCATATACCCTCACAACTGCCTTTTCCAATGCTAAACACATTCCGCTCTTTCAATCCTTGTTCATATAATATTGTTTCTAGACCCTTTATCTTAATTACTGTCTTTCTGTAAACTCTTCCAATTTCTCTAAATCATTCAAGCGCAGTGCCCAAATTAGATATAATAAACAAATAGAGTGGAGTGCATATCTTTTTTTCTTGCAGCCACACAACACTAATGCCTCATATTAAATTTGTAGTTGCTTATTATTCCACTGTTGTTGTTTTACAAATACTGATATCAGCCTAGTTATCTGCTATCCCATTTTTATTTCTAAGGAAAAAAAGTTGTGCTAATCATTACATTTAGGGTTGTTACTTTTGTTTCTCCAATTTATTTTGTTTCTATATTAGCTATCCACTTAATTCTGTGTCATCTGAAAAATTTATAAACATTCCTTCTACTTCCTATGAACACCTCTAGAATCACCGTAGTTTCCTGTAACCTGTTTTTTCCTTACCCCACACATGTGGCAGTTCCCTTATTGTATTTTTAACAATAATAATTGTTAAATTATGCATAATTCTGCATAATTGATAGGTAGATATCACTAAAAGAAACAGGGCTTGTGTAGCACTTTCTTTTCTGAAAGATTGTTAGAATTTGCCATCTTAATTAATGCATCTTTTTCTTTTGTTTTGAATATATATCTAATGAAACCAGGGGTGGGATTCAAATTTTTTAACAACCAGTTCTGTGGGCATGGCGTAGTTGGTGGGCATGGCTTGGTGGTCATGTGACTGGCTGGGTGTGGCCAACTCAACATCACTCACATTGAGAGGCGCTTCTCCTTGCCTGGCCTCTTGTGACTGTGGGGATGCTGCAATGGTCATAACTGTGAAGACGGTCATAAGTCACTTTTTTCAATGCTATTGTAACTTTGAATGGTCACTAAATGAACTGTTGTAAGTCAAGGATTATCTATACAAAAATACAAAAAGCTTCTTTGTTTTCAAAAAGCTGCCCTAAATACCAATCATTAGATTATAAATGGGGGAATATCAGTGAAAATCAGTGACAGTCACAGCCACCACAGCCACTGTTATTCTTGGATTTGATGTAAGTCTGTTACTGAAATGTTTTTGATACTGGACTTTGTTATTGGATTATCCCTGGACTGAAAACAGACTGCTTTAACTGTGAATGACTTGGAATGCTTGGACTTTGCTTAAACGTTTATTGGAAGTAAAAACCTACATTTTACTATACAGTGTATCTGTGTGCTGTTTGTGTGTTATTCTTCACCATTCTCACTATGTCTCCCTGTGTGCGCTCATTCTCCTAATGGGGAATTACCTCAACAGGCTAGACTTGGATCTCATGTGACTCTGCAGTGATTCCAGATTGATGACACATTTAACCCTGCCCTTGGGCTCAGACTGCTCACCTGCTACAATTCTAGTCCTACCTTAGGCATGAAAGCCTGGGTGACTGGGCCAGTTAGGCTCCCTCAAGAATTTTGGCATGGTATATCTATTCATGCCAAAAAGGAAAAAAAGTAGAAAGAAAGAGATAAGAGAAGGCATACTTCTTCTTCACTGGCCAAGTCGATAAGAGGGATTTCAAAGAGCTCTTTCTGGGAACATCTGAGCATTTCAACATCATATTCTATCTTTTATATTATACAGAGGTCATGGTATCTGTGTTAATTCTCACAATACATTTTCAACTTTCTTCTGGCCTTGTAAGTCTATGGAGATTCTCAGTCATCCAAGTCATTGTTGTCCTAAAGGTGCTTTTTCAAAAGGCAACTGGACTTTCTTTGTTTTTCCTAGAAGATTTTTGTAATCTTCTAGGAGATTTTCAGTGTTTGTAAACAGTAATCAGTGTTTGTAAACAGTAATGGATCATGCCCAATGTTTCCTAGCCGTACCACAGACAACAATAATGATCTAATACATATCGATTTTACAGTAGACAACGTTGAAAAAGCACTACGCAACCTAAAACCATCTCTATCTATTGGACCGGATGGAATATGTGCCTACTTCTTAAGAAAACTATCCGCTGCCATAGCCAAACCTCTAAGCATAATCTTTGAAAAATCTTTCAGAACCAGCTCCTTGCCCAACCTATGGTTACAAGCCACAGTCATCCCCATCTTCAAAAAGGGAGACCCAAGCCTAGTTGAAAATTACAGACCAATCTCCTTATGCTGAGTCACCTGTAAAGTCATGGAATCAATTATTAACCAATCCATCATCCTCCATCTAGAGACAAACAACCTACTCTCCAATAAACAATTTGGTTTCAGAAAAAAACTATCCTGTAATCTGCAACTCTTACACTGCAAAAACATATGGACGACACAACTCGACCAGGGCAAAGCAATAGACGCAATCTACATAGACTTCTGCAAAGCCTTTGATTCAGTGGTACACGACAAACTACTCCTAAAAATAAAATCTTATGGTATCTCTGGACAACTGAATAACTGGATAGAAGCATTCCTGTCAAACAGACAACAAATGGTCAAAATTGGGAACGCCCTATCAAATCCAGTACCTGTCAATAGTGGTGTTCCCCAAGGCAGTGTTCTAGGACCAACTCTCTTCATAATCTACATAAACGACCTTTGTGATCATATCAAGAGCAATTGCGTTCTCTTCGCTGATGATGTAAAGCTGTTCAATACCACAGACAATATTACTACCCTACAAAAAGATCTAGACTATGTATCTGAATGGTCTAACATATGGCAACTCCAAATCTCAACAAATAAATGCTCTGTCTTACATATTGGTAAAAAAAATCAGAAAATAAAATACAAGCTGAATAGTCAAGATCTTGTTGATGACCCAAGCTCTGTAAAGGACCTGGGAATACTCACCTCTAATGATCTAAGTGCTAGAGCTCACTGCAACTACATAGCCAAAAAGGCATTAAGAGTTGTCAACCTAATCCTACGTTGCTTTTTCTCTGGTAATATCTCACTACTAACCAGAGCATACAAAACATTTGCTAGACCAATACTCGAATACAGTTCATCAGTCTGGAATTCTTATCACGTATGTGATATTAACACAATTGAGAAAGTCCAGAAGTATTTCACAAGAAGAGTTCTCCACTCTTCTACCCGTTGTAGAATACCTTATGCCACCAGACTCGAAATTCTAAAACTAGAAAACCTCGAATTACGCCGTCTTCGGTCCGACTTAAGCATGGTATATAAAATCATACATTGCAATGTCCTACCTGTCAATGAATACTTCAGCTTCAACCATAACAACACAAGAGCAAACAATAGATACAAAGTCAAGGTTAATCGCACCAAACTTGATTGCAGGAAATACGACTTCAGCAATAGAGTGGTCAATGTCTGGAATACTCTACCCGACTCTGTAGTCTCTTCCCCAAACCCCAAAAACTTTAACCTTAGACTGTCTACTATTGACCTCACCCCTTTCCTAAGAGGTCTGTAGGGGGCGTGCATAAGCGCACCAACGTGCCTACCGTCCCTGTCCTATTGTTTCTCTTATTCTTTTATTTTTCTTATATGTACCCATTTCATATATTCACATCTATGTATACACTTGTACTTATTATCTTGTAAACAATTGACAAATCAAATAAATAAATAAATAAAGATGTTAAGCTTCTCATCCAAGAAGCTTATTCAGTTCTGACTGAATGGTGGATAATGGCAGGATTTATGTTCCTTACAGTCATTTGGTCATTACCACTCACTCTGAGAGTCATTGAGGCCCACTGGAGGTTTATCTGTGCCCTCAGGATCACCTGAATAGTGCAAATGAGTGTGGAACCTTCTTGGAATCACTGAAAGGAGACATTTCTTACAACACAACCCTTTTGGCAGTTCCAAGAAATGATCAGGGATCCACATGCATAGTTTACGAGGCGTAGTTTGACCAACCTCCACTACCTGCTTATTTAAAAGCAGTTAAAACCTCAGCCAAATCTTGTACCAGAGCTATGAGATCTCTCCCAGGCTTCCTCTGAAACCCCACCTGAACAGCTGATCAAGCAGGGTAGGGCGAGCCTCAGAAAACCCCAAGGTTAAAGAGATTATTTGTTCCTGACAAGTTAGTTATTAAACTAACATATTATACTCTAAATCAGCATCAGTGCCATGGGACAAATTACACATTAGCTCTGGGAGAGTTCAGTTGGAAATCAAATTGGTTACATTGATAATAATTTTGACAACCATGCTGTTTAATAATTGCAAAGAAGATATTTGAAGTGCACAAAAATAAATTGTGTTCTTATTTTTAGGATCACTATGATTTTGGCATGAGAGCTATAAAAACTGTATTAATAAGAGTTGGTCAAAGGCGTCAAGAGTTGAAACAACAGTAAGTTTTCTTAAGTGGTTTATATTAAAAATAGAACATTATTATATCTCAATTTGTGATCTACAGGTTTTATATAAAGAAGTGTAGTAGAAGAAAGACCTGTTTTACTGTAATCCTATTTGTATTTCTTTTGAGACAGACAACTAAATTCAATAGATTTATCTATGAATGCCTATTCTAGCATATAGTCCTTCAAACTCAAAAGGACTTATTGCCTCATAGAATTTCAACCTAAATTACCAAAATTCTAAATATTCCTGTAGGAATATCTATATTCATTAACCAGCAAAAATGCATTACTATTCATGAATTAAGTTTCTTGATCAGTTTTGTTTCTGACTTCCTAAGCATTCAAATTACAGTTCTGTCATATCATAAAATAATGTTTAATTTGTAAGGGAGGGAGGGAGGAAGAAAAGAAGGAAGGAGCTTTGACTGACAATTAATTAGCCATTGTGCAGTTAAATATAGGGGGGAAATTTAGAGGTATATGGATTAATAAAAATATTAATGTTTGATATCCACATTAGTGGGAATCTTCTGCATACTTTTTGGTGTAAATTTAGTTTATCTAGATCCTTTTTGCCAGGTTTATTTACAAACCATACAAATTTTTAGATGAAATGTTTTATTTATTTGTTTGTTTTGAACATGACGAAAATTCAGTCAAATGTACAACTTTAGCAATATATGATCAAAAATGTGCATTTAAGAATATCTCCTTAAAAATGCAGCATGGGTGGATTAATGAAAACATTATGGGACTTAGAGTAACTCATGAAATTCTAATTATTAGTTTTCTTGTATAATAGATATAATAAAAAAAGGTTTTCTGCAAGGGAAGAAACTCTAATCACAATTGACATATTGAAAGAAGTGAATTTGCCAAAGTTAATTGCTGAAGATGTTCCAGTATTTGAAGACATTATCAGAGATCTCTTTACAGAAATGGAAGTTCCAAAAGTAAATCCTAAACGATTAGAGGTAATAAAAATAAGAATAATATTGTTGATATTAACTATAAAATATTTTTAACATTGGTTTTTTTTAATGTTATTATCCATTCAGTTTGAGTATTTCAGTGATTTTGTAAAGGAGTTTAGAGCTGACCTTTGGGTAAATATGAGTAAGCCATCAAAGAGGGACTTGGACAAGAGTTAACAAGATCCAGAAATAGAAGGAAGTGAGAGAAAGAAACAAAATGACTCTGCCATAATTTTAGTATAAAATGGGACAGAGAAAAACATAGACAGGCTTTAAGGATCCTGTTAATATATGCTATAACAGTAGAGCAGTATGCCTGGAATCCCAGTAATATTGGTGCTTTCACTTGGCCTATCTTGAAAAACTGACAGATATTCAGGGAAGATGGGGCATATTCAGGTGTACATTCAGGTCTATTCAATGTCAAGTCAGTGAAATTGATTGTGACTCTTTAATTCCCCCCCCCTAATGTTTCCAGAATAGCTATATATTTTTCTTAATACTAAAGTTTGGTTATTTTATGTATTGTCAAATTATTGATCAGTCATCAAACTTCTAACCATCTGTCTATGTTTTTTAAATAGAGTGCAATATCTCTTGCAATACAGCATTTATCTTTGCAGCCTTGGGAAAATCAGATAGAAAAGGTTATACAACTATACAATCAGCTTATGGTGAGTACAATGGGATATTAATCAGGTAAAATGTGATACAGAGGTTAAATATGATACAAGTACGTAGAACTCAAAATTTTACAGTGAGGTCTTACATTATAGGAATTGTATTCCAGTAAATGCCATAAATGGATGTTTGTGATGGAATGTAGTCAGGAGTCGCAGGAGGGAGAGCTTCTTTCCCAGACAGCAAAGAGACATCAGAGCTTGGAATAGCTGATCAGCAGGAAGAGAACAAAGTTCGACCCTCCCTATCAATTCACAGAGTATATCAATAATTATTACAAATAATTGCTTTAGTCTGGCAAGGTTCTGTTGTAGGCGAATAACAATAAAGGAACTACTCAGGAATAACTCCATATAATTGTTCTTTGTTATTTGGGCCTGACATGTTGCCGCAATTGAGGAGTACAAAATCCCCATCAGTATATGCTTATAAATATACACTTTGTAAGACCTTTAGTTTGTATTTACTAAATCATTTAAGGAATATGAATGTTGCAGATTTGATATTTTAAAATACATTTTCAGGCTCGTGCTGGTGTGATGCTTGTAGGCCCCACAGGTGGAGGAAAAACTACCATCAGAACAATTTTAGAAAAAGCTTTGATAATCTTTCCATTAGTTGATATGGAAAGTGCTACCAAACTTGATGTTTTTCAGGTAAGGATTTTTTAAAATTACTCTTATGGTATGAGTAGTTGATCTCTTTTCCTATAACCTTACAGAACAATAATCCATATGAATTTCAAAATTTTAAATATTTACTAGTTATTAAACTAGTTTGAGTAGTTGGCAATCATGTTGAGGTATTGCTGTAAAGTGTTCTGGTGAGAATTATGACACAAGACTGAAAATCAGCCTACTGAAAGAAACTGTGCTTGTTAGGGTAGCATGGAGAGCGTGTATCTATAAAGTTGCCAGGAGTCAGACATGAGTGAATGGTTAAAACAAAAAGCTTTGGCAATATTCAGTCAACTTTCACTTATTTCAGAAAGCTAAGGAAGCTTTGGTTTAGGTAGATACTTGAATGGGAGCATACCAAGAAATTACAGGACAATATGTTGGATAGAAATAGAGAAATTATTCAGGAAGAAACCAATGGCAAAACATGTGCATATTTTTTACAGAAAATTACTTATATGCAGGGGTGGGATTCTACCAGTTTTCCCTGGTTTGGCCGAACTAGTAGCTCCAAAGATCATCTGAGAGAGAACTGGTTCGCTCAGATGATCAGCTGCTGGGCCCGTCCTCCCACCATACTGACCTTTATTTCCTGCTTTTCAACCTCAGTTGCATTGCATGACACAGCAGATTGTTGTGTGTCAGCTGTTGAAGACACAGGGAGAGTGCAGGAGAAGGTCAGTAGGAAGGCCTCTGCGCATGCGCAAAGCACACCCACCAAGCCATGCCCACCGAACCAGTGGTAGAAGAATTTGAATCCCACCACTTATATGTCTTCATCAAATCACCCAAGATCATACTTGATTTGAAGAAGACTTTACTATGGTACTATAGTAGGTCCTTGCTAAATGTCCACTTGTTCAGTGATCATTCAGATTTAAGATGGTGCTAAATAAGGGAGAATTATGATAGGTTCTTGTAGTTGGGACCATTGCAGGGTCATCACAGTGATTTGATTATAATTCAGATGCTCAGGAACCAAATTGCAGCAAAAATGTTGCAGTGTCTCCTAGCCATGTGATCATCATTTGTGACCTTGTGTACGTAGGATCAATCAATAACAAAATACACAAAACCCTTTTTATTGGTTTGTATTTATAGGAAATGAAGGTAATAATTGCTCATTTAGAAGGATTTTTTTCCTTCCTCAGAATAATTCAAAGAGAAGCAAAGTGGATACCTTTGTTGTAAATCCAAAGTGTGTTACTATTGATGAACTCTTTGGACAGACAAATCCTAGTACAATGGAATGGTCAGATGGATTATTATCATCAGCAGTTCGAGGATTTACCAAACTTGGAATAAAAAAAGTTAAAAGAAAAGATACAAGCCTTGGTATAAATTCAGAAATGCAGGATTTATATACAGTGAGTACACAGTAATGTAGTAGGATATTGAGATATTTTTATTTAAAAAATGTAGTTACGTTATTCATTTAGATACTACTGAGTATTTCTTTCATTTTTTTCATTTAATAACTTTCCAAATCCAGCACGTTCTTTCCCAAATGATGGAAATAGTTTATTAAAAATGGTAGATTAAATGACAGATTGATGATAGAAATGATAGATATCTTAGTAAGACTCCAAGACATCTGTTTAGTTTTTAAAATCCTCAGTTTAAATGGTTACAATTATTTTAAATGTATGATTCTCTGAGTTTTAAGCTGCTGCTCTTTTCCTGTTTACTTCCCAGGTAGTTTACTTTTTTGTTGGGTGTCCTCTATTTTATCAGACATATGCAAACACTTTTCTTTCTTTGGAAATCCTTGAACCTCTATTTGTTCTGAATGTGTTGGAAGCATATTCCAATCTACTTTCTTTTCTAGCTTCCCAGTTTTGCCTGTTTAGCCTTAGCTTGTATGGTGACTCTAACTAGAAATAAAACTCACAATCTGATTTTATTATGCTTTATTATTATTTGTCTAAGATTGAAATTGTCTTAATTAATTAATTGTAAATTAATTAATTTAGTATTTGGCTTTGTAGTTGTAGTCTTCCTTTCACCTCATTATTTTAAGAAAATCCAGGATCTTAGTTATGTTTACCTTTGTAAGTTATAATTATGTGATGTTCACCTAATGTTATCTATTGTTGTATAATTACTCTCATTTCTGCTTTTAGCTGAATACAGTGAATATAGCTGATGCACTTGTGGCTGATGAAATTGTACAATCAACAGAGAATATTCAATGTTAGTATAATCTTGTCAAAACAAATATGGGAATTAATTCATTATTGTGTGTATCTTAGTTAAAAATTCAATGTAGACAACTTTTTGATGTTTAACTAATTATACATTAGCTCTACTGAAATTAGTTTCAACATCCTCCCTAGGAACAAAAAAGTAGCAATGGAAATCATGTGATAGGTTTTTGCTCCACTCACTTCCTGGTGGAAACATAGGTTTCTTTTCATATGCATTGGGATATTAACATTCTATTGAATGGATATGTAGCTATTAATATATTCTGTTATGTGCTATAATGGAGAGAATGAGTCAGTTAAGAACCTGAACTCCACAGATCAGTGTGAGAAGAAAAAGATATGTGAATCTCACAAAGTGATGAAAACCTTGAGAATATCAGCATATGCCATAGGAAGTTTGTTAATGGTAGTTTTAGGCCAGTCAGTTTCTCTCAGCCCGTTACCTCACAAGATAGTTATTGTGGAGAAAATAGGAGGAGAAAGGAAACTTAGATATGTTTGTCATCTTGAGTTATAATCTCTACATCTATTGCTGAGGGGTTGGATTCAAAATTTTTAACAACTGTTTCTGTGGGCATGGCTAAGTGGGTGTGGCCATGTGACTGGGTGGGCTCTTCTTCTTCTTCTTCTTCTTCTTCTTCTTCTTCTTCTTCTTCTTC